CCAAAGATCTCGAGTTCCGGGCGCGTCCGTTGGATTCCTCTGAGTCTACTCAGCCCTAATAAGTACCAGACTCACATTTGTAAGTATAGGCGTCTGGACCAGAGGCGTAACGAGGGGGGGGGGGGGCGGGGGGGGGGGGCTACGTCCCCGGGCGCCGACCTTAAGGGGGGGGTGCAAATGAAAAGTTCGAGGGGGGGGTGCAAATCACAGTGCTAACCACAAAATACGTAAAGGAACTGTACGTATCAGTGAATTTAGTTTGTTATTTCAGGCAATGGATTTTGTTTTAGTTGTATAAACAGAACCACTCCTACTATTTTAAACAGACGTATTGAAATTAATACCTTTATAAGCTAGCTAATTCTGATATTAAAAAGCTCTGTAAAACAATATTTTCTTGTAAGCTTTCCAAATAATATTAGATGTTTTACAAAACACAAACAGGCTAATATCCGAGTGTACATGCCATACATATTGACAAGAAATAGCCTACTGAAATACATGGGAGGAAATACCATCAAATGTTAACAATTAAACAAGTTTAAAGATTAAATGAAGAACATTTGCAAATACACAAGACTTGATAAAATATAAATTTAAAAACTCAATTTATGGACTGTTACAGATGTTTTCAAAGTGATAACATTTACATCCGTGATGTTCAATGCGTGCGCCAGATCACAACAGAATTTGCCGCCGATATAAATCAGAAATTTACCTCGCGTCACCAGAACATAGTGGTTAACTGTCCTGTTCTGGACGCGTGACTCAAGGGTCAGCTTCTTTCCTGATTTCCAGGCGCCGTTAACTTTTGTCAACAGGATGACTTCTAGCTTGCCCGTTCTTTTGATGGGTGACAGCACCATTTTTAAGTTGTAATTGTTCCAGTTTACTATAATGTACAGGGTGAAGCCTACATCAATACCATACTGGGCTGATACGTAGATCTAAGATAAACAAAACATAATTTGAAATTCAAAGTTAATAATTGCGGAGCATGGTGTTTTATATATATATATATATATATATATATATATATATATATATATATATATATATATATATATATATATATATATATATATATATATATATATATATATATATATGTCTATATGTAATATATATATATATATATATATATATATATATAAATGTATATGTGTAATATATATATATATATATTTATATATATATATATATATATATATATATATATATATATACATCTAGAACACTGACGCTTCTACAAATGCTGTTAATGTGTTTGCTTATGTCCAACACTCAGCGCTTTATGTTGTGTACCAGTAATGAAGCAGGTATGGTCGCATGTATGGCCGGAATAGAAAATCTCCAAAAACTCTAGGCTAAGAGACTGACCACGGTGTATGTGAAAACAGAGGCGTAGAGGCGTAGCGAGGGGGGGGGGGTTGTGGACCGCACCGGGTGACACCATTTAGTGGGTGACACCAAGGCAAAAAATAGCAAAATATATAGAACAAACAACCCATCAACTACTTACCATAGACCCAGCAGAGAGGCCCTGTACTTCCGTCTGTTTTTCTGTTCCTGGTCGCAACTTCCATTCAAATTTTCGGGGAAGAAAAACAGACGAAGTCTTACTGAAATCCATACCCGACACGCCTACATCAGAGCAAGGGAAGCAACTCTGACTGCTGTAGTTGTAACCGATCTTGAAACTCTGGGAAATATATTTCCTGACACAACCTAATGCTGTGCTAGCTTTTTCTGTTGGGTTGGGCAGACATCCTTTGAAGTAAACACCAGAGAGCTCTTGCCATTTTTTTTTGCATTGTGTCGTAGTTTTCGTTTTATCGCATGCTTTAATGTTGATAGACGAGACTGAGACTGCTATGGATATAGCCAGGCAATACACTTTTACAAACATTGTTAACAATGCTAAATAAATGGCAATATGTCTTTTTAATTGTGCCACTATTGCCACGCTAAACTACTCAGCTGTTCATTTGTTAGGTACCTTCGTCAACCGAAATAGGAATATTATTTTGATCTCACTATAGATGACTTTAAATATGAAAAAGCAATTGTCGCCTATCGACTAATTTGCACAAACTGTTTATGTAGACTTAAACAAAATTATTTGCTTGTTAATTCTCTACCTTTTTATTTGAAAATAAACCAAGTTAGTAACACATTTCTAAACACATAGCCTCCCCTGTTTGACCCAACCTGGCACTATTTCTATCAAGTTCCATACAACCTGCGATTTACCATAGCTGGAACCGGGTGTGCTAATCAATGCTAAGAGACGAGAACTAGACTGCTATTCGTGCAACCAGACAATGATTTTATAAATATTGGTAATCAATTTAACTTTATCCAAGTACTGTTCTATAAAGTGACAAGTACTGTTCTATAAAGTACCAAGTACTGTTCTATAAAGTACCAAGTACTGTTCTATAAAGCACCAAGCACTGTTCTATAAAGTACCAAGTACTGTTCTATAAAGTACCAAGTACTGTTGTATAAAGTGCCAAGTACTGTTCTATAAAGTACCAAGCACTGTTCTATAAAGTACCAAGCACTGTTCTATAAAGTGCCAAGTACTGTTGTATAAAGTACCAAGCACTGTTCTATAAAGTACCAAGCACTGTTCTATAAAGTACCAAGCACTGTTCTATAAAGTACCAAGTACTGTTCTACAGAGAACCAAGCACTGTTCTATAAATTTCAACAGTACTTGCAACATTGTGTTCTGATTTTATTCTCTGGAGATCTGCCCCTAATCTCCCTTAACCCTTGTGGTTAACCACTACGAATATACCCAGTGAGACAGTGTTATATCAGTATTGAAACTATACTTTCAAACTATTGGTGGGAGTCGGCGTGGTCGAGTCGGTAAAGCTCGTAGTTGCTAAATCGAAAAGTCTCGAGTTCGAAGCCTCGGACAGATGAGGCTCATTAGCTGGGGACAGCCACTCTTCTAGGAGAGAGAACTCCAAAAACAAACAACTGTTCTTTGTTGGACAAAGGCTATGGACGCAAATTCAAGGCTTATAACAAGTTGACCACGTAATAGGGGATACCTTCAACACTAAAATTAAGAACGAAGAAGAGTAAGAAGAAACTATTGTTCAAGAATTACTATCGATACATTTTGTTTATTCCTTTTTAAAAAATAATCGTTTATTATGGTTTTTTTTAGCAAGTTGGTGTGTTCTATAACTCTGGAGGGCACATGGCACTGTGCGCAACTAATGTATGTTGGACGTATCATACCAATTCTATGTTGACAAGGACCGATATTCCATTTACGTTTCTTACCAATGATTATATACTCTATGATCATCTGTGTTATATACATTTTTTATCTGAGTGTAATGGTGAAACACTTAGGAACATACTCGTTAGGCAGGTTTTCTTTAACTTTTTCTTACAATTATAGAAGAAAGCGTAATAACACTGATTTATTATTATGATGTCAATACAGAGGAACGTCGTAAAATACTGCTAATTGACAACAAGCATCCAAGACGAATTCGATATTTTTATATCCATTTTACACGGCTATATGTGTGTTTGCTGTATTACGTTACACGCGTTTGTATGTGTTTGATGTTTTACGTTACACGTTTTTATATGTGTTTGCTGTATTACGTTACACGGGTTTGTATGTGTTTGATGTTTTACGTTACACGTTTTTGTATGTGTTTGCTGTATTACGTTACACGTTTTTGTATGTGTGTTTGATGTTTTACGTTACACGTTTTGTATGTGTTTTGATGTTTTACGTTACACGTTTTGTATGTGTGTTATATGTTTTACGTTACACGTTTTTGTATGTGTGTTTGCTATATTACGCTACACGTTTTTTTGTATGTGTGTTTGATGTTTTAGGTGAACAAGTGGATGAGTGAGAGAGTTCACGTGCACAGTTTATTTGAGTGAGTAGATTGCACACTCAATCAATGTGTAACAGGAGCGTGTCAACAGATGTGTAGGTGGGTTGGCTTGGCTATTATGTGGACATGTCAGATGGGTTGGATAGTTTGTAACTGTTTACAGATTCATTGTGCTTTCATACAATTGTAGGATTTATATAATCTATTTGTATAAACAGGAAGGCGGGCACCGACCCTAAGGGGGGCGCCAAATTGGATAGGGCAGATGAGGCTCGTTTAGCTGGGGACAGCCACTCTTCTAGGAGAGACAACTCCAAAATCAAATAACTGCTTCCTTGTAGTTTGTTCTTGGTTGGACAAAGGCTGGAAGCAAATCCAAAAAGAAAAGCAGGCTGAAATCGGAGTCAATGGCCTCAATGGCGCATAACCAGTTGACACGTAATCCTTAAATGTAATGGAAGCATGGTCGAGTCGGCAAAAAGCTCATGGTTGCTAAATTCGAAAAGAAATTCTCGAGTTCAAACCCTCTTGCAGATAAGGCTCGACCCCTTCCAACATTAAAAATTAAGAACGAAGAAAAAGAAGAAAAAGGATAGGATTTAAAAAAGCTCGTTTTGAGCTGCATTCCTGCATTATGCACAGTCACATTTCAGGAAATAGACTTTTACTTTGCTCTCCTGTTGGTTTAACTGTTATCTACATCAATCTTGTGATATTATAATTAAACCAAACCAAAAAGAGGAGGGGGAGGGGCGTTTTTTCGCCAACGAGGTTAACTATATTTTAATACCATGAAGGGGGCGAAAATTTGATAGTTCGCCCTGGGCGCCGGATTGGATCACAACGCCTCTGGCAGGAGTTTGTCTTGAGGGTGGAAGTTTAAACTATTTTGACAATTAAACATACGGCCATATATAATGTATGTCCATGAGTGTAGCACTTCCACATAAACCAACCCTAGCATTGTCGCAACCCTAAAGAATCCACGAGTGTAACACATCCACATAAACTCGCTCTGGCATTGTTTCAACCTTCAAGATTAGCTAACCACCAAAATCTAAGAATTCAGACCATATACCGCAGGGGTCATTAAGAAAGATAAGCGCGCCTATATAAACTCAGTTGTGTGCATGCTGAGAAGAGTTCACGTGACGTCGTCTCTACTGCTCACACCATGACCCCCTGTACTGTGTTCCTTCTCGTCTTGCAGACGACCTTTATTGTGTCACGTGCTTTTCTGGTCGATGACGGTATGTGAGACAGTTATTTTTAGTTTCTGATGTAGTGTTTGGTCTTTTTTCTTCTTCTTCTTCGTTATTAATTTTAGTGTTGGAAGATATTCTCTTCAAAACAATTATTACTTGTCAACTGGTTATGCGCAATATAGGCCGTTGAATCCGATTTCAGCCTGTTTTTCTTTTTGGGTTTGCTTCCATAGCATTTGTCCAACCAAGAACAAACTACAAGGCAGCAGTTGTTTGATTTTGGAGTTGTCTTTCGTAGATGAATGGCTTTCCTCAGCTAACGAGCCTCATCTGCCCGAGGGTTCGAACTCGAGACTTTTCGGTTCAGCAACCATGAGCTTAGCCGATATTGATAAAGTTTGGTCAATATTGTTATAGTTTGGTCACGATTGTCATCGTTTGTTCAACATTGTCAAAGTTTGGTAAATATATTGTATAGTTTCGTTGATATTGTTATAGTTGGTCAATATTGTCATAATTTGGTAAATATATTATTGTAGTTTGGTCAATATTGTCTGGTTTGGTCAATATTGTCATACAACATTGTCAAAGTTTGGTAAATATATTGTACAGTTTGATTAATATTGTTATAGTTTGGTCAAAATTGTCATACTTTGGTAAATATATTGTTGTAGTTTGGTGAATATTGTCATAGAACATTGTCATAGTTTGGTAAATATATTGTTATAGTTTTGTAAATATTGTTATAGCTTGGTCAATTGTGTTATGTTTGCTCAATATTGTTATAGTTTGGTCAATATTGTCATAGTTTGATAAATATTTTGTTATAACTTTGTCAATGGTGTTATAGCTTTGTTGTTTGTTGTTTCGTCAATATTGTTTTATAGTTTGGTCAGTATTAGCTTACGCCTACAATAACATCTTCTCCATACAAATTGAAAACTAAAAACGCTTTATTTTATGACTATTTTAATCTATGTTAATGGCTTGGGTGTGTGTGTGGGGGGGGGGGGGGGCGGATGTTTAATATATATTGACTTTCCATAACTTTTGTTTCATAACTAGTGGGGGCTTTAGCTTTTGTAAGTAACTTCTTGTGTTAAGGGGATAGGCTCCGGAAAAAAAAACACTTCGTAATTAATAAGCCTTTTTATATAATTAAATGAGGGCACTTGACGGAAATTATTTGCATGCATCGGGGACTCTTTAAAAAATATGATTGCCATGGCAACGGCGGCCTTCTTGAAAAACAAACCTTTTGTGAAGGTCTCAAGGTTAAAAAACAACGTCATATATATTGATCATATTATCATTGATCTTTCTTTTACTAACTCTAATAGAGTCAGGTGGATAATGTCTGTAACAAAAAAAAAGCGAATGCATTTTTTTTTCGACTTTATTTATAACGTCATGAGCCGAGGTGACATAAAATGGTGAACTCTACTTTACTTGCCCCATGGACCTAGTTAACACAATTAAGGTAATTAGGGGGTCATCCATAAATGACGTCACGCTTTTTTTGACGATTTTTACCCCCCCCCCCCCTCCCCTCCGTCACACGTCGTCACAAAAAGCCAGACCCCCCCCCACACTAAAATGACGTCACACCTCAGCCTACAACCCCCTCAAAATAGCACTTGAATTATTTTTTTTTAAACAGCTATATTTTTCAAAATATCTTGTCTGAACTCTGTGAAAATAGAGTATTTTAACCCCCCCCCTCCCCCTAAATGTGTGACGTCATTTATGGACGACCCCTTACATTGATAACAATTAATATCCGGGCACCAACAAACACACGAAAGGAATAGTGTGGTCAACCGAGCTTACTGAATTTTCTTCAGACTTTTTTTTCGTGGGGGAGGGGGGTACTTGAAAATTTCAGGGGGGGGGGGGGCGGACTACATTTTAGGAGGGGGAGTGGACACTGGTAAAAGTTTATATTTTCTATATAAATTCCATTTCGTATGGGGGAGGGGGGGTTGGAAGACTTTCTTTGGGGGGTGGGGGGGCGGAACTCTGCATGCTTACTTTTCTCTAACGCGGGTCAGGTACTTATCTCTGGACTCAGAGAAATCCTACAATTCGACAAACGTTGTTTAAAGTACTTTAAAATGAGCAAGTAGTTGGGACAGTTTTCAATTGTAGTTTGTTAAAAAATTCAGGAAGTTACACACCGGGTATCGTGTATTGTCAGGTACCATCACCCATGCCACTAGACTCAAGTTACTAAGGGCTCGTTCCAGAGGCGTATCCAGGTTTTCACTTTGCTGAAAATGGCCAGAGGGGGAGCGGCCGCTCCCCCTGCTCCCCCCCTGCGTACGCTACTGGCTCGTTCATAAATGACGTCACACTAGTAGGGGGAGGGGGTCCGTAATTTTGTGACGGTGTGTGATGAGGGGGAGGGGGGGGGGGGTTCAGATGGTGCGACGTCACACTTTTGCATTATAAAAAAGCAATGTTAGAAAACTAATTTTAGACGTTATTTTGCATTTTAGAAAACTGTTTTAATAAATTGTAATAGAAGTTGATTAAAATACTCTATGTCGACAGAATTCAGACAAGATTTTGGAAAAATATCGATGTTTTAAGAGAAATTTGACTGCGATTTTTAAGGGGCGGGGGGGGGGGGGGGGTTGTAGGCGGAGGTGTGACGTCATTTTAGGGGAGAGGGGGGGGGGCTTTTTGTGACGATGTGTGACGGAGGGGATGGGGGGAGGGGGGGAGGTAAAAATCGTCAAAAAAGCGTGACGACATTTATGGATGACCCCTAAGACTGTTAGTAAAAGTAGGATCAATGATTATATGGCCGACATATATAGATATATGTTAGTTAGAACTCCAAAAAAGGTTATTTTTTCAAGATGGCCGCCTTGCCATGGCAACCATATTTTCAGACGAGTCCCTGACGCATGCAAATATTTTCCCTTAAGTACCTTAACTAATATATAAACAAATAAATAAAAAATGCTCATTATTTTTTAAAAATTACCTTTTTTTTCTGGAGCCTACCCCCTTAAATTTTAATTATTTAAAAAAAAAAGTAAATTTACGTTTTATCAAAAAATATGATCATAGCTTAAAATGATTCGTGAAAAGCTTGGTAGTTGATTGGTATAAAACTTTAATTTTTTATGTTCTAGCTTTCAAATTTACTTAAAATGTTATGTTTTATTTATTTTACAGATATATTTAATTTCTTTAATTTTCTAATAAAACACTTCGTGTCGACGGGGTAAAATATTCGGTCACCATCTGTCTATTTTGACCCATTAATTGGATTCGACCTACTTCAATGATTAAACTCCACTCACTAATTAACGTAACAGTGCTTAAGTAATTAGAACATCTTATCTGATTAAAATTACGAGGTAATAATCGTGACTGGAAAAGATAACAGATGAAATGTAGTTTTGTTATAGTTTGGCATTCTTCGGAAATGTTAAATTTAGAATCGTGCTTTAGAATGTTCAACATTTTTTAGTCAAATTTATTTATAATGCCTACTTGGTAATCTATAATTTTAACATTTTTTTTTCGGGCAAACGGCCTTCGGATAAGAGGCTTACGGGCATTTGTCCAATGCGGGTTAGTGTCCATTCGGGCATTTGTCCCATTCGGGTTAGTGTCCATTCGGGCATTTGTCTCATTCGGGCAAGTGTCTTTCGGGAAAAGGGCCTTCGGGAATTTGTCGTGGACCCGTGTTTCAAATCGTCATTAGCGATGCTCGCGTGATAGCATCATCGTATTCTTTGTTTCATCATCTTGTCATCTGTTCGCCTTCAAGCGCAAGACAAATGGGCAGATACAGTAGAGTCCATCTGCTTCAATGACTGCGGCATACAGGGGAATAATGTGGTCAACACTTTGACCAGCCGCCTTAGTTTCCCAAATCAGGTACCAATCAGAGCTGAGTGTATTTTGGGACATCTTATAGATTTAAGTCTCATAATCAAGATTGGGACTTTTCTGTTTAGCGGTGTGACCTTATTCCCAGATCTTTAGTATTGAGCAATTTAAAGTTTCAATAGGTACCTGACTCAAGGAAACTAAGGCAACTGGGCACAGTGCTGACCGAGGTAATTGAGACAGATGAACTCTAACTCATCTGCTCTATGTGTCTTGAACACGAACGGGGAAAAAAGATGAAATCATATAAGGGGTCGTCCATAAATGACGTCACACTCGTAGGGGGGAGGGGGGTCGGTAATTTTGTGATGGTGTGTGATGAGGGGGAAGGGGGCGGGGGGTCAGATGGTGCGACGTCACACTTTTGCATTATAAAAAAGCAATGTTAGAAAACGAATTATAGATCTAGACGTTAATTTGCGTTTCAGAAAACTGTTTTAATAAATTGTAATATGAATTGATTAAAGAGAGTTCAGACAAGATTTTGGAAAAATATCGATGTTTTTAAAAAAAATTCAACTGCAATTTTGAGGGGGGTTGTAGGCAAGGTGTGCCGTCATTTTAGGGGGGGGTCTGGCTTTTTGTGACGATGTGTGACGGAGAGGAGGGGGGGAGGTAAAATTCGTCAAAAAAAGCGTGTCGTCATTTGTGGATGGCCCCTGAAGGGGTCGGCGTGGGCGAATCGGTAAAGCTCATGGTTTCTAAACAGAACAGTCTCAAGTTCAAACCCTCGGGCAGATGAGGCTTTAAGATATATAGTGTCTAGAGTGTCTGTGTACTTTATCGGTTGTTGTCCAAGGTCCGAGCGTGTAGTTAAGCGTGTGTTCATGTGTGTAGTCAATTGTGTATTTAAGCGTGTGTTCATGCAAGTGTGTTCATGCGTGTAGTTTAGCGTGTGTTCATGCGTGTAGTTTAGCGTGTGTTCATGCGTGTAGTTAAGCGTGTGTTCATGCGTGTAGTTTAGCGTGTGTTCATGCGTGTAGTTACGCGTGTGTTCATGCGTGTAGTTTAGCGTGTGTTCATGCGTGTAGTTTAGCGTGTGTTCATGCGTGTAGTTAAGCGTGTGTTCATGCGTGTAGTTAAGCGTGTGTTCATGCGTGTAGTTAAGCGTGTGTTCATGCGTGTAGTTTAGCGTGTGTTCATGCGTGTAGTTAAGCGTGTGTTCATGCGTGTAGTTAAGCGTGCACCCCATAGCACACAGCGCCTGAGATTTTTTATAATCTTTCCATCTGCCTGACATGATTTCGCCCTTACTAGATAAAAACAAAAAAAAATAATAATAAAAAAAAAAAAATAAAATAAAAAATAAACAACACTCGTCAACAATTAGCACTGTGTTGCCTAATAAAACACTCGTAATATCGACATTTTTTCATGATCACTATGGTGATTAAGAATTACGTTGCTGATTGATACAGAACTTGGACTAGATAACAGCTGTGTTTTAAAATATACACTTTTTTTTAACTATGCATTTTTTTATGAATGTGTCTCTATGTACATACAAGACGTGAAATAAATAAAACTATTGAATGCAAGTTTTGTGATGTTCCCATTGAATTCGAATATGTGATGTTGCCATTAATGTAAACTGATACTTCAAATTATATGTGCTTTTATATAATTATGTATACGTTTTTCTGATATTCCCAATAAATATTTGTTTGTGATGTTCCTATATAAATTAATGTATCCTAATAGTTCATTAATACTAATAGTTTCGCTGTCTGTCTGTCTATCTGACAAGAACGCTCTGTCTGACAAGAACGCTCTAGAGAAAACACAAGCAATTTAAAAACTCTCACAGTGAAACGAAAGACGAAGTATGACGTCGACACATTTAGCACAGAGTAGAAAATAATCTCAAACCGGAGAGTAAACATTGAATAAAAAGGAAATTTTGTCTTATCTAAGTGGTTTGCGTGAAGAGTTTCTTTCATACAATTCTTCGGGTAGGGGCGAAGCCCCACCCCCGCGTAAGAACGTCTGAGCCCCCCCCCCTCCCCAACTCAAAAGAAATTTCTTCATCGATACTCTATAATAAAATTACCGCCTAATTAATGTGTCTAATCTAAAAAGTGGTTTTCTCGCAATTTCTTTAATGCAATTCTTCGCGTAGTGGCTAAGCGCGACACCAGTGTTTCTTTCAGACTTTTTCCTCCCCGGAGAGGGGTGGGGGTACTTGAAATTTTCGGGGGCGGGGGTAGAATTTTCGGGGAGGGGGCGGACACTGGAAAAAGTATATAATTATATTTCGTTGAATGGGGGGGGGGGGTGGTGTGTGGGGTGGGTGAGGGTGGGAGGGGTGGGGGTGGGGGTGGTGTGTGTGGGGGGGTGGGTTGGTTTTAGTTTAGAGAAAAGAGACAGCACTATCAACCTAGCGCCCGGTGTATCCTTCCTCAACGGGCCATTTTTCTCGTATAATACATATTTTTGATGTTCTCTTATATAAATATTTCTAATATTTCCAAGAAATACTTGAGTAGTTCCCATAACACGTGTTTTTTATTTCCACAAGGAATATATTAGTGATGTTCCAAAAAATATGTATGTTATACCCATATATACATATCTGTGCTGTCCTCATTAAATACGTTTGTGTGATGTCATATTAGTAAATGTGATATTTTCATAAAAGAATATTTATAATGTTAAAAGACGTAATCGTGATGGTTTATGAATAAATGTTTGTAATGTTCCCAACACAAATGTTTGTAATGTTCCCAACACAAATGTTTGTAATGTTCCCTACATCAAATGTTTGTAATGTTCCCAAAGACAAATATTTGTAATGTTCCCAGAAACAAATGTATGTAATGTTCCCAAATCAAATGCTAGTAATGTTCCCACATTTTTTTAATGTTCCCATAGACGAATGTTTGTAATGTTCCCCAAAACCAAAGTTTTGTAATGTTCACAAAGACGAATGTTTGTAATGTTCCCAAATCAAATACTTGTAATTTTCCCATAAACAAACTGATGATGTTCCAGCCACATGCCAGAACAGATGTGGATCTCTGCTGGATGCCTCTAAACCCTGTCAGTGCAACTCTGCCTGTGTCAGATACAACGACTGTTGTGCTGATTATGTGGCATTGTGTACTGGAGGTACATTATACCTTTTGACATTTCATTATAATTTGCAACTTGGTACTAAAAAAATACATTAACTACACCATTAACTGAATGATTCAACGTAACTAAAATTAGGCACTCTCGTAATTACTGTTTTAGTCGCTTAAAAAACATACTATTGTAAGATGTTTAAAAATTTGACAACTAATTTGAGTACATTTGAAATCGAAACAATTTAAAAAAAAAATTAAATTGAATTACATAGTGTATTTTCAATAGTTGTATATCAAAGCCGTCAATTTAAAAAAAAAGTAATTAATATTTATGTATTTATTTTTAAAATACTTAAAAGCTATAGATCTAGATCCGTTTGTTTTATCAATTTTTTAAAGACTTTTATTTTGTTTCGTTTTTTATCAAAACCTGAATGAATCCCTAATTTAATGATATTTAACGCACATGTTGACACGTCTGTCACCCGCAGGTGCCACAGGTAGCTGTGTCAGTCTGACTGCCATCTCTGAGGATCTCTGGGCCAGTGATGTCAACAGGATGTCAGCGTCTGATGTCACTGTCAACTACCAGACCAAAGTGCCAGATGGCACGACCACTGACAAGTCGACTCAAAAGTTAGTTTTTGTTGAATGTTTGTGTCACGCAATATAGTTTTAATTTGTTTTAAAAATTAGCTTTAGGGTTAAAGTTAAACAACGTGTATTAATTTATATAAATAAAACAATGATTTCATTTTAATTAACATAAAATAAGATTGGGGACTATCTTCGGTTAAAAAAGTTATTTTTACAATTTTTTAAAACTTTTTTTTTTAAAGAAACAACAGAAAACAACAGCAAATTTATAAATCACTGTTAAATTTAGCCTATTCGTTTGTCGTCAATTATTCTAAAAAATAATATCATTAATTGCAAATTGTGTTACTGCTACCTAGCCAAAATTCAGATCTAAACCTTTAGCTTCCTTTTTTTTTTTGGATTTGTAAAACCTACATAAGATAAATTTTTACCCCTAAGCGGAACAACCAAAAAAAAAAAAATACTAACGACAAAACAAAGCAACACGAGTTACAGGAAAAACAAATGATTTTGCCAGATTTAAAACATGGTGTCTCTTTTTCCATTTTATACGCCAGTCGTCCAGCTGATTTTGCCAGTTACAGTAACATAATTTGTTTATTTTATTCATACCCCAGGTTGTTTATCTTGTAAATTTCTCATCACACCCCAGGTTGTTTACCTATGTAAATTTCTCATTACACCCCAGGTTGTTTACCTATGTAAATTTCTCATTACAACCCAGGTTGTTTACCATGTAAATTTCTCATTACACCCCAGGTTGTTTACCTTGTAAATTTCTCATTACACCCCAGGTTGTTTACCTATGTAAATTTCTCATTACACCCCAGGTTGTTTACCTATGTAAATTTCTCATTACACCCCAGGTTGTTTACCTATGTAAATTTCTCATTACACCCCAGGTTGTTTACCTATGTAAATGAGGCTAAACTTGGATCTGGCACCTACAAGCTGCTGTCAAATCTGATGAACAACTACGATCCAGTCAAAGGTGCCAGAGAGACGGCCACAACAGCTGAACTTGCTGAAGACAACGCCTTTTTAGACGCCATCCTGGCCACCACAGTCATGACAAAACTACTCAACTATCTCACTTGCAAGGGTAAATGAGCCTGTTTTAAGGATAGAATATACGGATTTTTTCGATAAAAATATTTTTTTGCTCTTAATTTTTTAAATTTCTAAATTCAGTAGTAACGCCATATAGCTATCTATTCTGAACGTTTCATACTTCTAAAGCCAACGGTTATCGATTTAATGCGATGTGGAACATGATAGCACCCCCCCCCCCCTATTCCCCTCGATCACATTTTCTCAGTATTACGCGGGCATCGCCTATCTATCAGCGAGTATTACATCTTTTATTACCAGCAAGACACCATAAACTATACATTAATCTATAGGCCAAACACGCTGATATCGTGACCTTTTTTCTTTGTTTTAAAGGTTTTTTTTCTAACGTGTAAAATTTGACATCTAGCACCATATATGGGTATACACGTAAAAGTAATGATAGGGAAAATGTTTTACCACTGAGGTAGGGAGCATTATGTGCCATTCCCCCACCCCCAACGGTAAAGATTCCATTGTGCCTCTGAATGCGAGCCTTTGTAGCGCTAATGATATAACATTTTCCTGGCCTTAGGTTTAATTACAAACTTTGATACCTGTATCGAAAACATAAATTTCTCCTTGCCTCAGTTTTGGTGACTTTCTGTACCAGTATCTAACAAATACATTTCTACCTGCCTCAGGTGTGGTGATCCTCAGAGGCGTAGCGAGGGGGGGGGGGGAGGGGGCGGGGGTTGCGGACCGCACCGGGTGACAACATTTAGGGGGGGTGACACCAGGGCAAAAAAATAGCAAAATATGCAGAGAAAAATGATAAATAGTGTTTTAAGAGGTGCAAATCGTAAGTTTCAGGGAAGCGGAAGTGCATATCGAAAGTTTGATGGGGATGCAAATCGAAAATTTGAAAGTTTGTCCCCGGGAAGTGTCGCTACGCCTCTGGGGGGGGGGGGGGGGTGGCACCATTAAGTGCCGCACCGGGTGACACCCGACCTCGCTACGCCACTGGTGATCCTATATCTAAGAAATAAATTTCTCCTTGTCTCTGGTTTGATGACCCTGTATCTAAAACATAGATTTCTACCTGCCTAAGGTTTGGTGGTCCTGTATCTAACAAATAAATGTTTACCTCCTCAGGTTTAGTGACCAGCCAGGCCGCTCTCAGGACGGTACTTAAGAAACACTGGTTTGACTTCTACGCCCGTAGCGGCACTGGAACTATCCTGGACACGAGTGGGTTCGAACACGTCATTGTGGGCGAGTACAAGGACGGCACCTCGGTCAACGGCTTCCACAACTGGGTGTCTTTCTACGAGAAGGAGAAGGCTGGGTCATTGAACTACTTCGGATATGTGTCTCAGGCTAATGTAAGTTGTTTTTTTTTGTTCCAGTATTCAAAGTTAGTTATTCATTCAAATTTACCAGTTTTAGCTAGTTAAATTGTAATTGATATTTGGGTGCAATTCATCTGATAAGTTTATTAGAAGTGGTTCGGAGGTAGAGCGCTCGATTTCTAATCTAAAATCCACGAGTTCGGATCCCAGACTCAAGTTTGTTATCTGCCATGCTCGGATAGGCGCCTAACTCACGGGGTACGTAATAGGGCTGGTAAGTAGGTCACCAACTAATTCTACTGCTTAACAAAACCTGCAAGAGCCATGGAACTGGTTGGTGACCTACTTACCAGCTCTATTGCGACTTGACTTAGTGCGGAACTAAACATCATGTTTGCTTTTATGAAAAGTTATGAGTAGGTACATAAATTCGTCATTTAAATCATATAATAACATTTTAATTATACTGTCAACATTTTTCCTCAGCCGTCCATCATAGGTGTTTATTTTTTCTTGTTTTCCTCAGCCGTCCATCATAGGTGTTTATTTTTTCTTGTTTTCCTCAGCCGTCCATCATAGGTGTTTATTTTTTTCTTGTATTCTCTCAGCCGTCCATCATAGGTGTTTATTTTTTCCCCTCAGCCGTCCATCATAGGTGTTTATTATTTCTTGTATTTCCTCAGCCGTCCATCATAGGTGCCGCCTTCTCATGGGACAACAGAGTGAAAACTTTGGGCAGTTTTTTCATCGGTGTAAGCCCCGAGTTTGAGCTGGCCATTTACTCCCTTTGTTTCCTGTCCCACCCTGGGGGCGTCTGCAACATCTCCCTCAACGGAAGTCCCGTCAGGATAGTTTCCTACAGCAAAGATGGACACATTGCCACGGCCTACGTCGCTGCTTAATAAGTCTAGAGTTATTTAATAAACTAGTGCGAAAGTACTATTTAAATCTTTACTAATAATTGTGTTTGTTTAATCGTTTTTTAATAATTTTTCATCTGTCTAAAATAACCAAATACATTTTATCCCAAACACCCTACTTGGGAATGTTTTGTGTCATGAAAAATATATAATTCACTTTCGACTAGATCTACATAGCATTATATTCTCTGTTAAATTCTGAAGTTGAATACCTTAAATAGCATATAAGCCAACGTCTCGCTGTAGACGCTACTGTCTTGGTAATGTGATAGATTTGACACACACTCGGAAAGTCAATAACTTGCAGAAAGTAGACTACCTGCAGAAACAAAAAGTAGACCACCTGAAGAAAGTAGACTACCTGCACTCTGCAGAAAGTAGACTACCTGCAGAAAGTAGACTACCTGCAGAAAGTAGACTACCTGCAGAAAGTAGACTACCTGCAAAAAGTAGAATACCTGCAGAAAGTAGACTACCTGCAGAAAGTAGACTACCTGCAGTAAGTAGACTACCTGCAGAAAAAAGACCACCTGCAGAAAGTACACTACCTGCAGACACAGAAAGTAGACAACCTGCAGACACAGATAGTAGACAACCTGCAGAAATTAGATACGTGCAGTAAGTAGACTACCTGCAGAAAGTAGACTACCTGCATAAAGTAGACTACTTGCAGAAAGTACACCACCTGTAGAAAGTAGACTATCTGCAGTGGACAACCTAATTAGGACAACCAAAGCATCACAGACCTATATGGGTGGTTAAAAAAATGTATACGAGGAATGTAAAGTCAACAGGATCGAACCCAAAGTAAATATTAGACTCAAACGACGTCGTAAACTTGAGGTGACGGGTGTTCTATTTATAGTAGCGCAATTAACTTCCGTGTTCATTGCACAGGTGTCACCTGATCGGTGAAATTTGTCACGTTCTAGTGGTCAATCAAGCGGAACATCTCTGCACGTAAACAACTCACGCAACTAGAACATACCACTGTTTAAAACATACCGAAACTAATACCACAAAACTAACTCATCTCCTAATAAGACATCGATCTAAATAACGTTAAAAATCAAAATTATAAGAAAAAAGTTTACGTTGAAGTACGAAAGATAGCTTCTTCCAATCAAATACGTAAATAAGTCATGGTATTAGATTTTCCTTTCATATGTGATATTATCATAAAGCACCAGAAATACCCCCCCCCCCCCACACACACCAAAACATCACCGTTATTATGGGTATTATATATATATATATGTATATATATATATATATATATATATATATATATATATATATATATATATATATATATATATATATATATATATATATATATATGATTTATATATTGGCTATTTGTAGCCTACATATATGTATATGTATATATATATATATATATATATATATATATATATATATATATATATATATATATATATATATATATATATATATATATATATATATATATACTGATTTATTAGTTTATTTATTCAATATGCTCTTTTTATTTTTTATCTGTTGGAGTGGTTTATTTTTTAAACTTAGACGATCTCGGCATAATAATAGTACAAGGAAGTTTAGCAATGCCTTGGTAAAAGAATCAGTATGTTCGATCTCACTCGATGTTTTCCTTCTTAACGAGTTAGATAAAAATATCATATCTGTACAATTAAGCCTGATGTTGTGAAGTTCAACAAGGAACTCTGTCGTTTATTTTCGTTTGATACAAACGATGGATATTTTCTCTGTCTTCTGTATGTTGTTGTTTAGTTACTCGTTTATTTTATTGTTTCATCTAATAGTAATTAAAATAATAATTTGTAGTTAGGTTTTTTAATCACTGGTGTGCTCATTTAAGCTATGTAATTTATTATCAGTGGTTTAAAACTAATTTCGCTTCTGTTAAAAAATAAAATCACTATCAAAAGTCTATCTAAAGACCGTTACACTTGAACCTAATATGATAAATTTTCAAGAAAAATTATTAAAAAAACAACAACAACAAACCCGTGTAGTGTTCGTAATGGTTAGATCTACCTAAAAAGTGATACATTGATAGACGAGAAACAACACACGTATAATTAAGGCAACAGCTAAAGTGTTTAATTAATTTACTATAGGCCTAGTTAGTGACCTTATGATGACAGATGATTGGTAACTACAGTTAAAAATAAAACATTATAGAAGGGGCGCTACTCTTACAAAGTTGCAGCTCACGACTTCACTGGTTTGCTCCCCTGTATATTTTGTTGCTATACACTTTATTTCTGAGCCTTACAATTAAAAACTACTTCGTCAAACTACATTTTAAATAAAGGGCCACCGCTCACAGACGAATTTGTAAAAATATATTTTCAATAAAAAAAATATTTCCCTTCCCAACCAGATAATGGGAAGTGCCTCTCGGAACGTTTCAAGTGCTTCTACCCAGGAATATAAACCTTCTTATAATATACTGCAATATATGTTAATTCTAAACACCAGTAACAGTTCATCAAGTTTACTTTTATTACCACGAACAGTTCTCGTGCTTTTGGCTGCCCTACCCCAGGCAAACAGCTTGACGCCATGCACCAACACCAACTACCTGGAGAGGGTGGAGGGCGACTGCAGCAAATTCAGGGCGTGTGGGGCGGCAGGGTTGTTCATCATGGACTGTCCGCCAGGTCTGGCCTTCAGCGAAAGTAAACAATTCTGTGACTACATAGCCTTCGTGCAAGAATGTACAAGTAGGAACATATTTTATGTCCTAAGCCTTTCAACTACAAACATCTACATAGCGTAATCTATTTGTTTGAACGATAGTGGTGAAAATGGGTCATCCCAAACCTATTTTGACATTAACGGATAACGTGTTTTACTACTTTACACAGAGTTTGTGTATTGATTGCTTGTTAAAGTACAAAATAATTGTTCAAAACACAAAAATAATTTTGGTAAATAAGATTAAGAATAGAATCTAGATCTACTTTACTTTAGCAGAAATGTTCAATCGGCAATAAGTTAAATATTTTGGCATTAAAAAAAAGCATTTAGCCATTGCACCTGGCAAATAGTGAAAATAAGAATGACTTCCCCTTGTAAAAATCAAGCAACTTTCTAGTTAGGCCCATGTTACCAAGTTACAAGCATTTTCATTCTAAAACGAAACTAAAATTACTAATGTCACCACCAACATTGAATAAAAACGTTATGCACCATTACTTAATCACACTAAAATGGTAATTAGGATATAGTCTAGATCTATGTTGGTTTACTTGCGCATAGATAGCTAAAGAAAAAATTGTTTTTAGGCCTAATTGTTTTTTTAGGCCTAGGTCTAATTTAAAAAATAAAATTTCTATAATTTATTCATCGATAGGCCCTAAGCCGACCTAGGCCTACACATTTAGAATTCAGGCCAATGAATGGGGAATATGTACTATTTTGCTATTATTTAGTATTTTAGTTCTATACCAGCATGCAATCAATCTTATTCTTTAAAAAGGGGTGTTGGGTTACTGGTAGTTAACTAAAATACACACATGGCTTTCTAAGAAAAAACCACATTCTTTAAAAAAAATCTTTATTCTTAGTCTTAGGCTCTTAGGTTAATGATAGTATTAGTAGTAAGCCCGTTAAATTATTATATGCCTAGGCCCTTATTTAATCTTTCTAAATATTCCTTTCTGATGTCAGCCTTTAATAATTTGCAGTATTATTACAATTTCGCTTTTTTTAAAAATGACATTCTAAAAAAATTATTGTTTTAGATCTTATCAGCTGCTGTATAGTCTAAATATGAAATAAAACATGTTTTTGATGAAAAAATGAAAATGGCTGGATGGATCAGGTCACTGATATGTGACACTAGTTTGCGAATCGTCTTGCCTGTATTTGCTGTAGTAGTGGCAGTAGTGATTTTCAAAGTCAAATTTAAGTGTACGTCAAGCCAATCTTTTTACAAATTTTTAGACTTAATTACTGAGCCTTACAATTTAAAATTATTTTGTCAAACTACAATTTAAAAAAAGGGCCACCGCTGCTTCACCCCCTGCCCACTCACGGACGAAGTGGTAAAAATATATTATACCACGTCGCTAAATTATTTTTTACGTAGAATAAAAGTCCTATACCATTAACAAATTTAAAAAAACAATGCAGTTCATAACACAGTTTGATACATTTGGTAGTTCTTAACCACAATGTAGAAAAAAGAAAGCAACAAAGAATGAAATTTAAATAGAGAGGTTCTGGTGAAGAAAATTTTTGTAATGTTCCAATAAACAAGTTTGTATTGCTTTAATAAACTCAAGTTTTGTATTGCTCGATTAAAAATCTGTTTATATTATTCTAATTAACACATGTTTGTGATGTTATCGAAGACAAATTTTGTGATGTTCCCATCCATATACTTTGATTGTTTTCCAGCCACATGCCAGAACAGATGTGGATCTCTGCTGGACGCCAGTAAACCCTGTCAGTGCAACTCTGCCTGTGTCAGATACAACGACTGTTGTGCTGATTATGCAACATTATGTACTGCCAGTAAGTCTTAACATTTAACCCTCTAATACAAACACATATAATTTTCTTAACTGTCATTAACTTTATAAGCAATGCATTTTTCAGTGACAAAGTTGGGATGTATGCTCTTACAAAAAGTAGTTACAGTTGGTAAACTCATCATCTTCTGTTTTACTTCATCCTCTGCTATTTTACTTCATCATCTGCTGTTTTACATCATCCTTTGCTGTTTTACAGAGGGCACTCAGCCTATATGAACTATTATAGTCTTAATTTGAACTATATTTTCATTCCCATCTTGCCTGGCAGTAAAGTTAACAGTAAATTCAGAACACTTTACATAATTTTTAAGTGAATGTAAAACAAGAGACTATTAATTTTTTTATTATAAAAATAGATGTGAATTTAGTTCAAATAATTTACTTTAATTTATTTTCTTTTATGTTTATATCTTTATATTAGTATAATTAATTATTTTTTAAGCAAAGATTTTTAGCTAATGAGCAATTACATAAAGTTTCCTTTTATTTGATAAGTAAAGTTTTTAAAATTGCTTTTGAGTTTAATATTTTTTGTTATGAAATTTTTCACTTGCAGGTTCCACAGGGAGATGTATGAGTCTGACAGCTGTGTCAGAGGAATTATGGGCCAGCGATGTCAACAGGATGTCAGCGTCTGATGTCACTGTCAACTACCAGACCAAAGTGTCAGCTGGCACAACCACTGACAAGTCGACTCAGAAGTTAGTTTGATGAGTCTAAATTTAAACTCTCAATGGTACAGAAATTAATAAGAAGAATTGTAATAAATGACACAATAATATATTTGTAGAGCGTGAATTCATCATACTCCAACATGAGCATTGGTTTTCAGCTAAAAGTTCACAAAAACTATTTTTAATTTTCAAACTTTGGTATATTATCTATCTCATATAACTAAAAGTTTTGTAAAAATCGGACACGCGTAAGATCAGACCAGTTTTTAAACTTTACATTTTTCTATACTAAATTATTTTATTCACTCCAATATTCAAACCTAAGTTAATACTCTTTTAATTTTCAATTGTTGTTTACTTATGTAAATCTACACAGGTTCTCTATTTACAGAGTCATGTTAATTTATGGTTATCTATTACATTTCTCATTACACCCCAGGTTGTTTACCTATGTAAATGAGGCTAAACTTGGATCTGGCACCTACAAGCTGCTGTCAAATCTGATGAACAACTACGATCCAGTCAAAGGTGCCAGAGAGACGGCCACAGCTGCTGAACTTGCTGAAGACAACGCCTTTTTAGACGCCATCCTGGCCACTAAAGTCATGGAGAAACTACTCAACTATCTCACTTGCAAGGGTAATAACCCAATATTGTTAAAAGGGGCTAGATAGCTTTTAAAAAATGATGTAAAGTTACTTTTGTAAACACTAGTTATTGAACAGTTTGAATTAAAACTAAATTTAGAGGATGGCTTAGACAATATTATTTTTTCTAAAACATCATAAAACAAAAGAACAAAAGCTTAGTTGAGAGGTCTATGATTGGTTAGCTTCTATTTGAATTAAAACTTAATTTAGTAAGTTAAAATACGATGATAATGAAAATTTAACATTTCATATTAGTAATGCCATCTGTAAAATCTAACCCTGAGAAAATTATTTCAGCTTAGCTGTACTAGAAACATTTTATATTAGTCATTAATAGTTGCAAATTTTTACAAGCTTTTATTTAGCTTTGTCGTTAGTGCTTTTGTCTTTGTTATGGGTTAAAACTTAAGAACTAATTTTTACTGGCTTTAACAGAGTCCATTTGTTACAAACTTGACCCGTAATTTAAGTTTTCATATCAATTGAATGTGTCATGAAGTTTTAGATAATTAGATGATCATTAAAATTTCATTAAAAGTTAGTTAAATATTGATATCTAAAGTAATATCTTGTTATGCTGTTTCATTCAATTCAATACATTCTTTTGGTGGGAAGCATTCCATTTATGTGATTCAATACTATTAAAACAAAACAAAAATTAATTTAAAAAATATTTATAATAACAAAAAGTTTGCAATACCTAGACTGTACCTAAACTAATTTTTAATACCTAGGCTGTAGGCCTAAATAAACTAAAAAGCAAAATTGTCAATATCTAGACCAGTGGTTCCCAACCTTTTTTGAGTGGCGACCCCCTTTTATAAAAAGTAAGTGACTCGCGACCCCCATAGAATTAAAAAGCCGAAATTAGTATAGAAATTAACAAGCACTAAAATAATATTTTCTAGTAGACTTTCAATATGAACTACCCTTGATCTCTGTTTTAATACCATGAGTAAAATTGCATGCTATTTACTAAACATTCGTGGTTAAGTTTTTGTTAACGCCAACCTATGTCATCATCAACATTCAATTTATTTCTTAATTTTGTTTTTAATTTGAGAATAGTGTTGAAAATATATTCTCGAAAAGTCAATCAATTTTACGTTTGGGTATAAATGGTGAATGCTAAACCAAAATTGTGTGTGCAGTTTTTCATATTACGCATAATCATTCTGCAAATAAAAGAATTCATCTTGCAATTCATCGGGAACGCTGGCAACATCAAGGGAAGAAGAGAATGGGTCATGTGCCAGTGCAGATTCTTCTTTTTTTCAGCTCAGAAAAATAGAGCTGCAGTTCGTTTACAAGAGATTCAAGATGCCTAGAAATTGCTTCTTTCAAAAATTTAATTATCTCACAATCAGATTCATCTACCACACTGCAGAGTTTCTCAAATTTACAATATTTCCTAGATTTATTTTCTTTGCCAATTTTGCAGCTTTGGTAAAAATGCACTGAGATTTTCATGGAAAGCGATAATATTCTTTCATTTTTCCTGAAGCTTCAGGTTAAGCTTATGTTGATGTTCGAATATATCTGCTAGTTATGATACGCTCTCCAACTACTCTATGTCGTTTTAAGTATACCAAAAGGTCTTGATTCGTTTGCACTTCCAAGAACAGTTTGATTTCAGATCTCAATTAAAAAAACACGATTCACAACATTTCGTTTGACACCCAGCGTACTATAGTGTAGAAAAGCAGAACATCGTGATCTTTATTAATGTCTTTGCTCAGTTCTTTGAAGGCTCCATATTTAATTTATGACTTTTTCTAGCAATGGATTCTTGATGGCGAGGGCAGTGGTTAGGGAGCTAAATCTTTTCGGTTTTCTGAAAGCCCGATTTTGACTTAAACATAGATGGCACACTATACGTACAAGCCCCCACAGCCGTTTTAACCCATTTTAATCATCCAGCTTCATAAAACGTATTTATTTTTTCCATGCTATCTTCACAAAATAGCAACTCTTCTTTGCTAACATATGAATGAATATATGATTAGCAACAGAGAACACGAACTCACGTCTGTTGATTTGTCAACTTGAAAAGCAAACAATAGTGAAAGCTTGATTTCATTAAAATATTTTTATTTAAAATCTACGGACATGTCTTCTATAAGCCGCTGAATAGTATTATTAGGCAGAGATATTTTTTGCATCTTTACTGCACTGGAATCCCCAAGAATTAACTTCACCATCTTCAACATGCAGGGTTTGATAAGATTTTCTCCTACTGTGCTTTTTTTTGCTTGGCAATTTCTATCGCAACTCCGTTTGATGCTTGCACTAATGCTGTGTTTCCTTGGTGAAAACTTCCTGTTCGATCAAGTCTCTGACGTTTGCAACTAGCTTCATGCAGACGAAAGACCTCCATACATTTTTTTGTGTGTTCCGAATAACTCGTCTAAAATGACGTTTAAGTTTTGGAGATTTCATAAACTCGTGACTGAAAACAACTTTGTACAGTACGCATGGCATCTTCCCTATTCCATTTCCAGGGAAGTTAGTAAAGCCGAATTTCAGATATTCTTCTAAATATTCATGTTTTGTTTCTCATTACTAAGGTTTAGTATACCAGTTGGCGACCCCCCAGAAAGGCCTTCGCGACCCCCAGGGGGGTCGCGACCCCCAGGTTGGGAACCCGTGATCTAGACTTTACTCAAACTAAGTTTTCAATACTCAGACTGTACCTTAACTAACTTTTCAATACCTAGACTGTACAACTACTACCACCTAGGCTCTACATAAACTAAGTTTATAATACCTAGATTGTACCTAAACTAAGTTTATAATACCTAGATTGTACCTAAACTAAGTTTGTAATACCTAAGTTTTCAATACCTAGGCTGTAACTAAACTAAAAGAAATTGTCAATATCTAGACTGTACTTAATTTTCAATACCTAGACACTGTACCTAATTAAAAATGGTTTTAATACCTAGGCTTTGGCATTTGTTTGATTTACTGTAGCTGTCAAATAAAAACTTTTGTTATTATTTAGCTCTGCTAAAATTTAAAAAATTCTTCTTATCTCAGGTTTGGTGACCAGCCAGTCAGACCTTAGAGGCGTACTCAAGAGACACTGGTTTGATTTTTACGCTCGTAGTGGCTCTAGCACAGTCCCTGACACAAGCGGCTTTGAGCATATCATGGTGGGAGAGTACAAGAGTGGAACCACGGTCAACGGCTTCCACAACTGGGTGTCTTTCTACGAGAAGGAGAAGGCTGGGTCATTGAACTACTTCGGATATGTGTCTCAGGCTAAGGTAGGTTTTGTGAATAAAAGCTTGAGTTATTGGTTTCAGTAGGTTTTAGTTATGATGAAACGAGTTGCTTTTCACTGCAAATTACTTAGCTAAATCCAAAAATATAAAAAGGTGGTCTGGAATATCTATTTTTAGATTTATTAATTATATTTATATATTCATACTGTGCACAATAGTGGTAAAATATTAAAAATCTGGCTTAAAAGTATTTAAATTATCTTTGAAAAATATAAAACTTATATGATTGGTATAAAAATAATATTTAGTAAATTCTATTCCCCAATTTGGATGAAATTAACAGTAAAATTAATATCTCTCAGATACTGTTGTGCATATTAATTAATAACTAGTTCCCCTTTACAATCAGCATTTAAAATGCCAACTTAAAAATTTTAAGATCAACCATCAATGCTAACTTTAGTTGTTATGGAGGGTCGCCAATACTGCAGGCTATATTAAACCAACTTTGGAAATATTTCTTTTGTGGCAGTTGCAGGGTATATTACAACCTGTTCCCTGTGCAGCAAATCTCAAATAATTTGATGGATCTGTTTAATTCTATGACTGATATACCTGGTGCTCTACACAATAAAGTTGTTGGCACTGTTGAATGACTGATAAGTAGTGATCTGTATATTTTGGAACCTTGTTTTTTTTTAAAGAGTGTGAAGTCTATATTGTGATTTAGTTAGCTCATTTCTGTGTTTAGCAATGGGTTTACAATTTTTCCATTGTATATAAAATCTAAAACATTTCATTATTTGTGGACATTTTATAAATTTTGAACATTTACTTAAAATACTTTAAAAATTTTGAACATTCACTTAATTTTTTTAACTATTTGAAAAATAATAAAAATCATTCATATTAATCAAAAGATTAAAAAAAATATTTTTAAAAATAAAAATATGACCACCGTTTCTATGAAAAAAATATTAATTTATTTTTTCTTGTTTTTCTCAGCCGTCCATTATAGGTGTTTATAATTTCTTGTTCCCTCAGCCGTCCATCATAGGTGTTTATAATTTCTTGTTCCCTCAGCCATCCATCATAGGTGTTTATTTTTTCTTGTTTTCCCCAGCCGTCCATCATAGGTGTTTATTTTTTCTTGTTTTCCCCAGCCGTCCATCATAGGTGTTTATTTTTTTGTTGTTTTCCTTAGCCGTCCATCATAGGTGTTTATTTTTTCTTGTTCCCTCAGCCGTCTATCATAGGTGTTTATTTTTTTGTTGTTTTCCTTAGCCGTCCATCATAGGTGTTTATTTTTTCTTGTTCCCTCAGCCGTCCATCATAGGTGTTTATTTTTTCTTGTTTTCCCCAGCCGTCCATCATAGGTTTTTATTTTTTTGTTGTTTTCCTTAGCCGTCCATCATAGGTGTTTATTTTTTCTTGTTTTCCCCAGCCGTCCATCATAGGTGTTTATTTTTTCCCCTCAGCCGTCCATCATAGGTGTTTATTTTTTCTTGTTCCCTCAGCCGTCCATCATAGGTGTTTATTTTTTCTTGTTTCCTCAGCCGTCCATCATAGGTGTTTATTTTTTCTTGTTTCCTCAGCCGTCAATCATAGGTGCCGCCTTCTCATGGGACAACAGAGTGAAAACTTTGGGCAGTTTTTTCATCGGTGTAAGCCCCGAGTTTGAGCTGGCCATTTACTCCCTTTGTTTCCTGTCCCACCCCGGGGGCGTCTGCAACATCTCCCTCAACGGAAGTCCCGTCAGGATCGTTTCCTACAGCAAAGATGGACACATCGCCACGGCCTACATCTCTGCTTAAAGTCTGGTTGATGTGTGCTGTACGTTTACCTGCTTAAAGTTTGTTGCGCTTGTTTAATAAGTTTTATGCAAGTACTATGTCCATATGTTGTGATAATGTTTTTTGTTCAACGTTCGTGACAAGGAAAAATTTGTACCTGGAAAAAAGATGATCTATTTATGTTAGCAAAGAATGACCACATGTACATTAAACATTTGAAAATGTAATTGTATAACTGTTTTGCATTTGAACATTTTTCTATTAGTGCAGTTTTTGGTAGAGCATTGTTCTGAGAACTGTTTCAGCCTAATGTGACTGCTTAAAGTCTGGCTAATGTTTAATTTTTAAATGTATTTCTTTTTTTAAAATTTCATACAAAAAGTAATCTATTGAAATTATTTTCAGATTTTTTTTAGATGCATCCAGTTACCTACCAAAACAAATTTTGTATACAGTGATTAATTCAATTCATCCAATTTAGCTAGCTATTAATTTTAAACACAATCTTTAATGAATAGACTAATAAGGGATTTTCTATGCACAATGTTAATACACAAGTAAAGTTTTCTGGTAGTGAGAAATTATTTTCTGTAAGTCTAATAAGTTGTACTTTTGTATTACTTTTTGTTTATATTTCTATTTTATTGACTGGTCACTTTTTATAGTGATTGTTATAAAAAGATATATTTTGACAGGCTCAAGTTCTGATCCTGGACTTGGATCTGTAGAACATTCCAGAGTCCACCTAGTTCTGTTGGGTACCTGACTCATGTTAGGGAATGTAATGGAGGCTAGACATATTGCTGACCACATTATCCTTTCATATGCCAAGGGCATTGAAAATGGTAAACTCGATATCAGCTGCCTTGTGGATTGAAGGGTTCAAAATACTTTATTCCACATACAATTTTTTTTTTCATGTTGTGCATAATCTTTAAAAAAAAAAAATTTAATACATTGTAAATTATTTTTATTGCTGAATATGTCTTATTAATAAAATATATTTAATTGATAAAAAATTGAGGTGGATGTTCTGTAATGTTGAAGAATGAGTGTACCATACATTTCAAATACTAATCCTAAGCTCACAAAATGTGACTATTGTGTTGACATGATTTGCATGATCAAACTCAGGAAGGTATAAAACATCAAGACGCTGAACAAATATGATTCTTCTACTTCCTCTATACTCCTGTATAGAAGAAAGTAAAAAAGCTCTTTGTTATCAATGTCTGACTTATTCCACTACTAGTGCTCTGGAAAGGTTATTTCCTAATTATAATCATTCTTAACGTCCATTAGAAACTAATCCGTGTAATAATAGCAGTGCAATACATCGGAAAAACAAGGTTTATTTTTTTTTTTTTTAAATTTATCATAGGACGGTAGAGAGCTAGACTGCTAACCCGAGAGTCTCGAGTTCTAATCCGGGTTCAAATCAGTGGGACGTCCCTGAGTCCACCTAGATGGGTGCCTAACTCACGTTAGGGAAAGTAGAGGCAGCTGGGCATGGTGCTGGACCCAGGGGCGTAGCGAGGACAGACGTTTAATGTGTGTCTAACAGATGATCTGATCAGGTTGCCAGCAGTGTTTCTTCCAGACTTTTTTCTCCAAGGGGGGGGGGGGGGGCGGTCAACATTTTTCGGGGGGGTGGGGGGCGGACACTAGTAAAAGTGTATATTTACTATATAAATTCCATCTCGTTCGGGGGGGGGGGGGGGCGGTAGACTTGCTTCGGGGGGGGGGGGGCGGAGATGCCTGGAAGAAACTGGTTGCCAGGTCGCGCTTTACGACGTGATTTTAGAAACAGTTATTGTAAAGGGACAGTAACGTGAATGTAGGGACAGTATGGACAGTCACGTGATTGTAGAGGTGGGTTAGGACAGTCAAGTGATTGCAAAGGTGGGTGAGTAGGGAGAGTCACGTGATTGTAGAGGTGGGTAGGGACAGTCACGTGATTTTTGGGACAGTCACGTGATTGTAGAGGTGGGTAGGGACAGTCACGTGATTGTAGAGGTGGGTAGGGACAGTCACGTGATTGTAGAGGAGTAGGGACAGTCACGTGATTGTAGAGAATGTAGGAAGTAAAAACAAAACAAGAAAATTAATAATTGTGTAAAGTAGGCATATACACTAATCCTAATATATAAAAGCCCATTTTCGCACTTCTATCTCTATCTGCAACATTTTTGAAGCTATAAGATAAGGAACATAAAAATACAGGCATATTCGAATGTACAAACACATGTTTAACCATGCAACCGGAAAAAAAAATATAGATATGCCGAGAACGCATAAAACAATGACGTCACATGTCACATAATAAAAATGCCAAAAGTACACAACACTAATGGCCGCCCCCCCCCCCCCCCCCCCGCCCCCTCACCCACCACACCGAGGGAAAAAAAATCTTTTGAATCATCATTTAATTACACATTTACATTTTCAGGTTGTTTTTTATTTATTTTTTAATTTTTTTTTATATTTAGACGTTTTGTATTAGATCTATGTATAAGTAAACCATCTTAAATGAATAAAAGTAGGCTACAAGTAAGAAAGAAATATTACTATTGTAAATCTGTATCAGTCCTCACAAGCCGATGATGAAAACTGTAACACTAAAGCGAACACACAACTGACGCTGTAAATTACATGTCTGAGGCCAAAAAAAAAGGAAAAAAAAAAAAAAAAAAAAAAAAACTAATGGCGTCAACTTCCAATTTTAGAATATGAAGAAATGAACTATTTCATTCAAATGTGGTTTAGATCTAGATCTAATTATCAAGACGTACGCTATGTAAGGTATAGAATTTTCTAGGTCAAAAGTAAAACAAATTATTTAAATAAACCGGGAGTGATCTCCCCTAAACTTTCTCGAATATTCTTATATAAAATAACAGGGGATGGGAGCTCGGGCTATAGACATGATTTTTAATCCATTTTAAATACTTAAAGTTTTAAAAATAGAATAAAATCTCGTAGACAAACTAATTGCACACCAAGTGAACGCCAAATAAAAAAGCGCATAATGGTGCGCAATATTATTATTACTTTTAAAATTTACATTAGTTTTTTGAGAAATCGGAAGTAGCGTAAAGTACTACTTCCAGTCAACGGAAATGACTCAAAATTTGATAGAAGGTAGAGAATTAGATCTTTTACTTACATATGAAATTTCATTTATCTATCTGAAATAGTACTCAAGTTATAGGCTTTTGAAAAATTCAAAGTAGGAAAAGTACCACTTCCGGTTATCGGAAATCGCTCAAAAGTTGATACGGATCTACGATTTTGATAAAATACTTATATATGAAATTTCATCAACCTAGCTGTAACGGTTCTCAAGTTATCGTGTTTACACACGGACAGACAGACACACAGACACACAGACACACAGACACACAGACAGACACACAGACATACGGACAAGATTGCAAAATTATGTTTTTCCGTATCAGTGAGGTGTGAAACGTCGAGATTTGTAAAAATCTCGATTTTTTTTTTTTGCACGATTACAAGACTTTCTCTATACTTCGTATATACGAGAAAGTAAAAAAACTACATAAATACCATTGAACATAGTTGGCATGTTTACGTCATGGTGTCACCCCTACCTTCTTGTAATAATTGTCAATTTGTACTTAAAAGAGTATCTAACTTTAATTAATCATAAATGGAACTGACAAAAGGCATTTTTCTTCGGTACATTTTGAAATTTTTTGCCTTGGTGTCATCCCCTAAATGGTGTCACCCGGTGCGGTCCGCACCCCCTCCCCGCCTTCGCTACGCCTCTGTATAATAATGAGCTACTATTTAGGTAACTAAAAATAAAATCATAATTGTATAAAAGCTTGGTATAAAATCGTTTTTATGCGTTTTTAGCGCAATTTCCATTCTGGAGAATTGCGTTTATTAACGCGTCATTTCTGGGAATGGATGGATGGATGGATGAATGAATGTATGGATGAATGTGTGTCCGGGCTTTAAGTCGTATCTCCTCCTCAACGAAGCAATATCGATGACTAGTTCCAAAAGCAATTATGTTAAGCAAGCTACGAGAATGAGCATAGGCCATAAAAATTCCGGGTTTCTTTCATGTATTTCCCGGAAAAGCCAAAAAACCTCGAACAAATGCAGTTTTTGGCCCATATCTCGGCAACCAGACCACTTAGCGACTTGAAACATGTACCAATCGATTCCTGCCATAATTTAGAACAATATTGCCGAAGAAAGTTTTCAAAAATATCCTCTCGTTTAGTCACAAATTTTAAAATTACATAAACACCTACAAACCGATCGTTCTTCTAGCTTGAACGCACCCCAGCATTATACGTCAGAGCTATTTTTAGATAACATAAGGAAATTGCGCATTAATGTCACTAGACTTTTTAATTAACTTGTTTTTTCAGTAGGCCTAGAGTTGCATGACTAAAAAATATTCCGCACTACATGAACACGAAAAAATGTGCGTATAATAGCGCGGTAAATAGTATTTATTGTTGTAAATTTTAATTAATTCTTTAACAATAAATTAAGCATCCATTTAAGTCAAATTTTATTTCAGATTGAATTGTCATAAGGTATTGACCCACGTGCCAAGTTTGAGAGGAATTTAACGTTGAGAAGAGGTCGAAATTTCAGACAGACAGATGAATAGGCAAAAGAAGTAAGTATATAAAAACCTTGTAAAATCAAGGGAAATAAACATGTTCTTGAAAGTTAAAAGTATTTAAGGAATGTAATATTAAATTAACTAAAGATGTAATAACTAATCGTGATTCAAATACATATAATCTTTTGAATGTGTTAAAAAGTTTTATGAATCTATTACATTTTGTTTATAATTCTTTCAAAATAAAATAAAATTTTTATTTTAGTTTAAAAACAAAAACATTTGCTTTTGTAAAATAGTTATCTGTAAATAAATCTTGAATTATTGTAACAACATGATCATAGTGACAATTATTTCTGTACACAAAATACTTCTTTTCTCAAAAAGCTAATATTATTTTGGTATGAAAAAAAATCGTGCTAAAAATCGAGATTTTTAAAAATCTCGACGTTTTACATTCCCTGAGTCGGAAAAACATAGTTTTGCAATTTTGTCCGCATGTCTGTGTGTGTATGTGTGTCTGTGAACACGATAATTTGAGTACCGTTACAGCTAGATTGATCAAATTTCATATATAAGAATTTTATCAAATTTGTAGTTCTGTTTCAACTTTTCAGCGATTTCCGATAAATAGAAGTGGAACTTACTCTACTTTCAATTTTTCAGATAGATAAATGAAATTTCACATGTAAGTAAAAGATCTAGTTTTGTGCCTTCTGTTAAATTTTGAGCAATTTCCGTTTAACGGACGTTTAAGTCATTAAAAATCATGTCTATATCCCGAGTTGCCATCCGCCGTAGCAGGGGCGGAACTACAGTGCCGCCAGACCCCGCAATGCGGGGGGGGGGGGGGGGGGGCACGCCATTTAGGGGCCCACAGCCGACCATAATCAATTTTTTTATTGTTAAAAATAAATTAATTTTCGTTCATTTTTGACTTGATTGTTTTTTTTTTATAAAAAAGATTACCGTAGCTGCAGTTGGATTATCTTGATTCTATAGACACCACCCCACGCTCTTGTATATTCTCTTTCCCTTTGTTTTTAAACCACTCTGAAAGCCGTCCTCTTTCTCCTACAATCAAACTTATCAAAGATAAACAAACGTTCAAGCCACTTGCATGACTTATTTCCCTCTTTAAAATAGTCAAATAGAGGTGCTCATAAGCTCCTTGTAATAGATTTGTACTAAACAAATTAAAAAGCAATCATTTCTCTGAATTATTATTTTTTATTAAGTACTTAAAGAATGACACTGTATAAAAAGGAAAAGTATTTAAAATTAATAATATAAATACAAAAATCATAAAAACAAACATAACACGAGACACCATTACTTATACAAAGCTTTCATGGCTTATATTCTTTTGAAGGTTAAAAGGTCTTATAGCAGAGATAAAATAAAACCGATTTTCACAGAACACACTAATGCAAAACTTTCAAAATTATGTTAAAAAATGTGATGTTGATGTACTTGTTTTAATTGCAAATAAAAGTATTTAAAAAAAAAAAAAAAACTAATGCACTTACACACATGAAATTTTGTTGTAATTTGTTTTAATTTAAAAAAAAACTTGTTTTTATTAAAACCCGAACAGGCCTGCATTGGCAATGAGTATACTGTGTTCGTATTTTGTGTTGGTATATATATATATATATATCTAATATATAAAGCTCAGTTCTGTATGTAATGCATTTGTATGTCGTTGGAATTGTACGATTTTAAGTGTTAGAAAAATTATCGTGCGCATTTGTCTAAATTTATGAGCTAAAAAATTACTATTGAAAGTGTTGGGAAATAATTTTCATTTTTCAAATTATAGTAATAATTGTCGGCATGTTCATTAAACACAAGTTTTAAAAAAAATATCATCTTTTACAAAAATTCTAATTATGTCTTTATTTAGTCCTATAGCACTTACTTCCTTTTGATAAATTAGGAAAAACACAATTACTTCCCTTTATAAAACCACTGCATTCCGTGAAAATAATTTACTTTTTAATTACTTTGTTTTGGTGTTGGGAAAAAAATAATTACATAATTAGCGGGGATTGATCAAGTGCAAATGTTGTAGGTATTTTACGGATAAGCTTGGAGTATTAAAATTGTTTATGAAATTGAAACAGGCGCGTTCGTTTAAGTGAGTGCAAAAGACTATGAATAAGTTGGGGTACTATAGTCGTTCATTAAGCTAAAACAGGTGATTCCGCCCCGGGCGTTTATGTTCGCGTTAGTGTTTTCTTTGTGTTTAGGTGGGTTTGCGTTAGTGGTTGCGTTTTAATTTGGTTCGTTTTTGTTCTTTCTTTTTTCGTTTTTGTTTGTGTTTTTTTTTTGTTTGGGTTTGTATTTGTGTTTTTGGTTGGTTTTGCGTTTGGATTTGGTTTGTTTTCGTTTGCTTTTTTCGTTGATTTTTTTTTGTTGGTATTGGTGTTTGTGGTTGGGTTTGTTGTTAGGTTTTTGTTTTCGTTTGCTTTTTTGTTTGTTTTTTCTTTGTGTTTGTATTGGTGTTTGTGGGTGTGGTTGTGTTTGTTGTTAAGTTTTTGTTTTCGTTTGTATTTGTAATTGTGTTAGCGTTATGTTTGCGTTTTGTTGTTTTGGTTTTGGTTGGTTGTGGTTTGGGTGGGCAATGCCGGGTTTATGATGATTACTAAACACACAGGTAATGGTCTTTAACAGAAAGGTTTTTCACAGAAGCCAGAGCAGGGCCTGGCCGGGACGGCTAGTATATATATATATATATATATATATATATATATATATATATATATATATATATATATATATATATATTTATAATGAGGGGGGGGGGGGGCCTAAAAAATTTTTTTTGCAGGGTGGCCTTTTTTTCTAGTTCCGCCACTGCGCCGTAGTGTTATATAAGAATACAAGCCGACCTGTGGCGTATCATATGCAGCTATTTAGTTTTTTTTTTTCTACTTTTCAGTAATTCAAAATTTGTGAATTCGACAGTACCAATACTGCCACTGAAAATATTTGCTTTAAAACACTATCAGTAGGTCGTTAAGGACGATACCCCCCCCCTTTCCACCAACCCCTACCCTACCCTACACCCCCCCCCCCCCCCCCCCGTGAAAGCAGCCTCCTCTTAGTTACCTCCCCTAAGTTTAAAATCGTTTCAAACCAAATTATCTGCCCCTTACAGCCGTCACTGAACCCGGCTCTACGATTGTAACCCTTTAGCGTGAACCACAGCTAACTAGACCATGTGGGGGTGGGGTGGTAGGGATATGCCTAGAGAGGAAGAGAGGGGGCTGCTAGGCGCGCTTACAGCTTGGTGTTTTCTATGGTCTCCGAGAAGAGAATTATATATATAGAATTTGAGAAAGTTTATGGGAGATCACTCCTGTTTTATTTTTAAAGTTTTGATATTACGTGGCATGTGTGAAAAACAAATACAATAAACAGCTGTCAGTAAATTACAACAAACAGGACAATTATGACATGGCTAGTTAATAAGTATGACACAAATATTAAACACACGTATTTATTAGCAAACATTTACATAGTCCTTGTGTACCAATTTATTGAATAACGGCGAAAATGTTAAGAAGATAAACGTACAGCACACATCAACCTTTTTAGATAGAAGAAAGTTATTAAAAATGATTTAACAAACACAATTATTAGTAAAGATTTACATAGTGCTATCGTACTAGTTTATTTAACGACTCTAGACTGAATTAAGCAGAGACGTAGGCCGTGGCGATGTGTCCATCTTTGCTGTAGGAAACTATCCTGACGGGACTTCCGTTGAGGGAGATGTTGCAGACGCCCCCGGGGTGGGACAGGAAACAAAGGGAGTAAATGGCCAGCTCAAACTCGGGGCTTACACCGATGAAAAAACTGCCCAAAGTTTTCACTCTGTTGTCCCATGAGAAGGCGGCACCTATGATGGACGGCTGGGGAAAACAAGAAAAAATAAACACCTATGATGGACGGCTGAGGAAAACAACAAAAAATAAACACCTATGATGGACGGCTGGGGAAAACAAGAAAAAATAAACACCTATGATGGACGGCTGAGGAAACAAGATAAAATAAACACCTATGATGGATGGCTGGGGAAAACAACAAAAAATAAACACCTATGATGGATGGTTGGGGAAAACAACAAAAAAGTAAACACCTATGATGGACGGCTGAGGGAACAAGAAAAAATAAACACCTATGATGGATGGCTAGGGAAAACAACAAAAAATAAACACCTATGATGGACGACTGAGGGAACAAGAAAAAATAAACACCTATGATGGATGGCTAGGGAAAACAGGAAAAAATAAACACCTACGATGGACGGCTAAGGAAAACAACAAAAAATAAACACCTATGATGGACGGTTGAGGAAAACAAGAAAAAATAAACACCTATGATGGACGGCTGAGGAAAACAAGAAAAAATAAACACCTATGGTGGACGGCTGAGGAAAAAAAAACACCTATAATGGACGGCTGAGGAAAATAAGAAAAAATTAATTCCCTATTCTCCATTGTTTTTTTCATAGAAACGATGGTCATACTTTATTTTAAATTTTAAAGTATATATATTAATGTTTTGCTTAATACGACTGATTTTTATTATTTTTCAAATAGTTAACACAATTATGTAAATGTTCTAAATGTTTTAAATGTGTCAAAAAATCAAGAACTGTTTTAGATTTGATGTACAACGGAAAAAATTGTAAATCCACTGGCTGAGGGAAACAAAAAAAAAATTCGTATTTCATAGTTGTTTTTTTTTCAAGATTTAGAAATGAGGTTCATAGTTTTATTTATTTTTAAGTGCATATTTATATCTTTTTTGTTTAATCTGAGTCATAATTGAAAAAAAAAAGAATTTTTTTTTTAAATAATGTAAAAAAAGTTCTAGAATCTCATTTTTAAATTAAAAAACGCAACAGAGGTAGAGCCTGTATCAACGATTATTGTTTTTTTCTTCTTATAAAACTAGATCTACATACAATGTAAATCAGCATGAATTTCGCTACCTCCAACTAATTTCGAATACAACTTACATTAGCCTGAGACACATATCCGAAGTAGTTCAAGGTCCCAGCCTTCTCCTTCTGGTAGAAAGACACCCAGTTGTGGAAGCCGTTGACCGTTTTCCTGTCCTTATATTCCCCCACCATCATGTGTTCGAACCCGCACGTGTCTAGAGTGGTGCCTTTACGGTTCCGTGAGTAAAGGTTAAACCAAAGTTTCTTCAAGGTTGTTCTCAGCGCCGCCTTGTTTTTTACAATACCTGGGGTAAAAGTGATTTATTTATACTTCTATGTTAAAAGAGGACGAAATTGCCTAGCGGTAGAGCGCTAGACTGCTAACCCAAAAGTCTCGAGTTCGAATCCAGTTTCAATTCAGTAGAACGTGCCTGAATTCATCCAGCTCTGATAGGTAACCTACTCACGTTAGGGAGAGTAAAGTCAGCTGGGTATAGTGCTGACCACACTATCTCTTCATTATGCCGAAGGGACAGAAATAGGTGAACTCTACTTCACCTGTCCTATGGACTGTCAGGCTCGAAAGGTGAACTTTTTTTTTTTTACATTACTGCTATGTAAACTCTTATAGTGGACTAACTTACAGCTGACAAACTTAGCGCAAAACGTTAACTATTGCAAATCATTGGTACCAAAAGGTACCAGTTTTTCAGGTATTCTGGGGTCAAGAAAACACACAATAATTACTTTTAGCTCAAGTAAAAATGAAAATCCTAGTAATTTAAAAAAAACATATTATCTATAATAAGACCAAATAATTACTCTAATGACAGTTTAAAAAAATCTATTGATTTATTCTAAGACAAGAATAAGAATAAGGTAATGGCGTGGTCGGATAGTAGAGGCTACGACTGCTAATCCAAATTTCTCAGGTTCAAATCCTTGACTTAAGTGCATCCAGCTCTGACGGGCACCAAACTTACATTAGTATATCAAAGCCAGCTTGGCATAACACTGTCTACACTATCGCCTTGTATGCCAAGGTCACTAAAAAAGATGAACTCTACTTTATTTGTCACATGGATCTTGGGCACACATGAGAAAAGATGATGATGATTGTAACATTAATCCTGCCCCAGAAAACGGGCTCTAAATTAAAAGCTTACACAGGACAGTGAAAGTTAATTTGTATTTACATTAGAGTTATTACCCCTGCAAGTGAGATAATTGAGTAGTTTCTCCATGACTTTAGTGGCCAGGATGGCGTCTAAAAAGGCGTTGTCTTCAGCAAGTTCAGCTGTTGTGGCAGTCTCTCTGGCACCTTTGACTGGATCGTAGTTGTTCATCAGATTTGACAGCAGCTTGTAGGTGCCAGATCCAAGTTTAGCCTCATTCACATAGGTAAACAATCTAAGTAGTAACAAGGATTAAAGGTATAAATTAACATATATGACAAATGGTATGTACCCGTGTTCGTACTAGTATTAGTGTAGCTATAAAGTATCAAGGCTAAAAAAAAAAAGAAAATAACTACATAGAAATATAGAAAAATATAAAATATATGTTTGAAAGTACGACGCTTTATTCATTTATTTATTAGAATGAATTACGCCTACTTTTCAGTTGAGTTGTCAGTCTTTGTGCCATCTGGCACTTTGGTTTGGTAGTTGACAGTGACATCAGACGATGACAGCCTGTTGACATCGCTGGCCCATAATTCCTCTGACACAGCTGTCAGATTCGAACAGCTTCTTGCTCGCCCTACATGATGTTAGAACAGAATTATAAACAGCTTTAAAAACAGCTTTATAAACCAACTCAAAGTGTTTATTGGGGCGGCGTGGCTAAGCGGTAGAGCGCTATACTGCTAACACGAGAGTCTCGAGTTTGAATTATGATTCAAGTCAATAGAACTTCCATGAGTCCCAGAGGCTTAGCGACCCATCCCGGACAAACCTTCAATTTGGCATCCCCCTATTTTTTATGTTTATAATTCAAACTGCAGCTAAATGAGCTTTTATTTGTTTTTTTTCAACCCATTTTGGCGCCCCTAGGGTCGGCCCCCGGGGACATATATAACCACCCCCCATCCCCCTTCGCTACGCCTCTGAGTTCACCCAGCTTTGATGGGTTCCCAAATCACGCTAGGGAAAGTAAATGCGGCTTGGGGCTGTTCTTGACCACACTGTCCCTTCAAATGCTCAAGTCATAGAAACATGAACTCAACTACACTTGATCCATGAAATTTCAGGTTCTAAAAATGAATTGTACTTTAACTTTACTTTTGTTACTGACCCAACTTATCTACTTAAAAAAAAAAAAAACTACGTATAAACATTTAGACGATTAAGTAATAAAAATAAAAATAACATAAATGTTACTGTTGTGAAATCAATGCTAAGGTAAAGACTTACCACCAGTAGTAGAACACCATGTCGTATAATCAGCACAGCAGTCTTTGAACTTGATACAGGCAGAGTTGCACTGACAGGGTGTAGTGGCGTTTCTGGTAGAACCACATCTGTTCTGGCATGTGGCTGGAACATTATGAACCAAATGATTTAATTACGAAGAGCAGAGTTTCTTTCAGGCATCTCTTCGGGGGGGGGGGGGGGGGGGGAGGAAGAAAGTCTAACGCCCCCCGAACGAAATGGAGTTTATATAGAAAATATATACTTTTACCAGTGTCAAATGTTTATTTGAAATTCATACACACGTATTATTTGAGAATAGAATATGAATGTATGTGTGGTTAATTGTCCTTTAAAAACGTTTGAATAGCACACACAAAGTGCTGAAAAGTGTATTTTTTTCATAATAAATAATAAACTATACATCTTAAAGCTAATGATTTAAAGTGAATAGAATATACGTTAAATAAACTTTTATATAACCGACTCCTGTTTTTAAAGCAAAGATTTCAAGCTTGACCTATTAAATTTCGGAATTTTATTCAACATTTGTTGTGTTTTCAATTAGTTTGTAATAACTTAGCATATCATGAATGTACTTAAAAGTACGGCTAAACTAATAATGATCCCTACCCACGCTATTTATACATGCACGTGCTTTTAACACCGAGTTGAAACTTCCTTCTGACTAGTGACTGAACGTATTTCTTTTGATGAAGATCACTTATACTTGAGTGGAGTGTCGGTCACTTGGTCACACTTGACCTAGCTCTCGGACGCCAGTTTTGTATTTATATTTAGATCAATGGAGATGCAAGTTGGTCAATGTATTTAAAGACAATCAGAAAATTTTGCCGATTTTAGCGAAAATCTATGTAATCAAATTATGAAGCCCTTGACAAGAGTCTCTATTCTGTATACCTTTCTCTCTCTCTCTTTCTTTCTCTCTCTCTCTCCCTCTCTCTCTCTATATATATACATATATATATATATATATATAGATAGATATATATAGATATATTTAGATATATATGCATATATATATATATATATATATATATATATATATATATATATATATATATATATATATATATATTAGTGTGTATATATATACATATGTATTTAGTGTATGTAAGCCCTTTACAAGAGTCTCTATTCTGTATACCTCTCTCTCTCTCTCTTTCTTTCTCTCTAACTCTCCCTCTCTCTCTCTCTCTCTCTCTCTATATATATATATATATATATATATATAGATAGATAGATAGATATATATATAGATATATTTAGATATATATGCATATATATATATATATATATATATATATATATATATATATTAGTGTGTATAGATATACATATGTATTTAGTGTATGTAAGCCCTTTACAAGAGTCTCTATTCTGTATACCTCTCTCTCTCTCTCTTTCTTTCTCTCTAACTCTCCCTCTCTCTCTCTCTCTCTCTCTCTCTCTATATATATATATATATATATATAGATAGATAGATAGATATATATATAGATATATTTAGATATATATGCATATATATATATATATATATATATATATATATATATTAGTGTGTATAGATATACATATGTATTTAGTGTATGTAATATATATATATATATATATATATATATATATATATATATATATATATATATATATATATATATATATATATATACAAACACACTTAATGCACTTTAGTTACATAGAACAAATTAACAACGCGCCACACCTAACTATACACAACACACAAAACACAACACAAAAAACACAACACACAAGAACACACTCATAACACAACATATACAATTCACACAACACACATCACACCCGGCAAATATGTATGTAAAAAATGTGTTCGTCTGCTCTGAGCCTCTAAAATTGGTTACAACGCCGCTATGTAAACAAAGAAAAAGCTGTGTTAATTCTATTTAAACAAGCATGGCACGGTCAGGCTAAATACCGCTACGGAACTAAAACAACGTTAGTGAACATGAAATTAAATCCTTCACTTACCGTTTTCTGCGAAAACAACACGTGACACAATAAAAGTCATCTGCAGGAAGAGAAACAACACAGTACTGGGGGTCATAGTGTGAGCAGTAGAGAGGATGTCACGTGGTCCAGCTCACTCAACAGGAACATGCACTCACATAACACGGAGAGCCGCTGTTTAAATAGTGTAGCGCTTAACTTTCCCTGAATAGCTTCCCCTGCCAATCCCCTACGTGCTTTGGTCTACATGTGTGTCCAGAATTCGGGAGTTACCTCATCTTGCTTGTAGACAAAAAAATGAGACGGCTAGTAAAATGTGGAATACGTATTAAAACTAGGAAGTTTCAGCGATCCAATCCCGTGTAATTTTGTAACTAGACGTAACACACATCTGCCTAGCTAACAGTTTCTTTCAAGCATCGTCAAGCAAGTTCATCCCACACCCCCAAATAAAATATATGTATATAGAAAATATATTATTTTACCAGTGATACCCCCTCTCTCCTGCCAACAGTTTCAAGTCCCTAGAAAAATGTCTAAAATAATTAATACTAGAGAAATCGAGCCCCATAGATCTCATCACATACAGCGCTCAGTTAAGGGGTTACGTTATACATATACCTTGTGGTAATAAAGTTTTTCTGTTGGATGTTTTAAAAAAAGTATTTTATATTTTCACATTGAACTATAACAAACGAGCCGGCCCGCGGCATAACATACGCCGCTATTTAGTTTTTGTTTTTCTACTTTTCAGTAATTCATAATTTGTGAATTTGACAGTACCAACGCTGCCACTGGAAATATTTCTTTAAAACACTATACGTAGCTCGTTAAGAACCATACCCCCCTTAGTTTTAAACTAAATTATCTGCCCCTAATAGTCGTCACATAACCCGTCTCTGCTTGTAAACATTTAGAGTGAACACAGCTTACTAAGACCATGTAGGGGTGGGAGGTAGGGAGCGCGTTTACAGCTTGTTTTCTAGCGTCTCCCAGAAGAGAATTATATATACGAGCCGGCCCGCGGCATAACATACGCCGCTATTTAGTTGTTTCTAATTTTCAATAATTCATAATTTGTGAATTCGACAGTACCAACGCTAACACTGAAAATATTTCTTTAAAACACAATAAGTAGCTCGTTAAGGACCATAACCCCCCCCTTCCTTTCCTCCCCCCTCCCCCCCCCCCCCCCCCTACGTTTAAAATCGTTGGCTCTGCTTGTAAACATTTAGAGTGAACACAGCTCACTAAAACCATGTAGGGGTGGGGAGGTAGGGAGAGCGTTTGCAGCTTGTTTTCTAACGGCTCGAAGAAGAGAATTATATATATAGATAGATAGGGGGGGGGGATGTGAATAAAAAACTTGTAATGGTATTGATATGCTAATTAATGTGGGAGGAATTATTATTTATGACACGTTTTTTTTTTTTTTACATTTCATGTTATGTGAAGCTTTTTTCTATTTGATAAAAATTGTTTTTTAAGCTGGAAAATGTAGAAATTTAATAGTTTAAGTAAAAAATGTATAAAGTTGATAAAAGCAGATATTGAAAATATACATTTAAAAAATAAATTAGTCTGTACTTCTATATTTACATAATCATTGTAACATAGTACCTTCACATTTTTCGCATTATCGATTTTGAAAATTAAACATTAATTTGCTTTTGTTAACCAAGACGCCATTATTTGTTGTTATACTCATCCGGTGAATAATTTGATTCGTAACATTGAAAGTGTTTATTTTACAACATCGCTATTCTACAATCTAGCCTGAAATGCTACCTTGCCACTGTTCATATAATTTGTTATTGAATGAGTTAAAATAAAATGTTAAAAGTTTAAGCTATTCTGGAAATTCTTCGAATTGTTAGTTTTAAAATAATATTTTTCAAACAAACGAAAACGTGAAATGAAACCACATTCCACCTCAAATCTATAGATGTTGGCTATTGGTTTAACGATGTTTCATAAAAAATTGATTTCAAATAAGCCAGGTTTAATGTAAGCTACTCAAAAAAAAATATAAAACATTTTTTTTAAATGTCTAGCAATCAATAGCTACTTTATTTAAAACATAAGTTTCTATATAGGCCTACACGTTTTTTAAAATTAAAAAATAAAAATAAACCGTCACTAAAAATATCCTTGGTAAATCAGTACATTTTAAAACGTCGGTATGCATTGCTTTAATAAAAGTGTAGGTCCACACAAAATAAATACGTTTTGGTTACTTAAAACCAAATGATTACGAAATATCGAGTGAAATATGGTAATGTGTGTATTCTATTGTCATTGAGCATGGTATGGTTGATACCAATGTTTAGCTTCTCTCCAGAATAATAATAAATATAATAAGTAAATAAATGGCAGGACTTCAGTTTGCATGTCATCTATGCAAATAACCGTCTTTTTAAGGACGTATACTGTAAGCTGACGGCCTTGAGTCTTGCTGGGTTGAAAGTGGCTTTAATGTTAACTTTACTTTTGATCAGTGTTTCTTTCAGGCACTTCTCCCCCCCCCCCCCACCATGAAGGAAATGAAATTTATATAAAAAATACATACTTTTACCAGTGTCCGCCCTCCCCCCCCCAAATAAATAAATATCAAGTGCCTCCCCCCCCCCCCAAAAAAAATTCTGAAAGAAACACTGCTTTTGATACCATCAATCTGAGACTGATTGTGTGCTATGCTGTCCTTGATTTTGAAGAGCTCTATCTTTAATTCAGAAAAAATTCTAGGCCAGTGATATACACAATTTACATTTACTTTCTCCGACTGGAGTCTGGTGTTCAAACCAAACAGGACTAAAGCCGCTTCCACTTGTTTTAATATTCAGGTAAATTGTCTAGAACAGTTGAATTCAGGCGAGTTTACTATGAATAATAGAATTATTGATAATATCCACTTGTATCCTTTGTGCTGTATTGGTTACCAATGTTTCTTTCTGAGTTGTTTCTTCGGGGAAGCACTTAATATTTTCGTGGGGGAGGGGGGGGACACTGGTAAAAGTATGTTTTCTATAAAAATTCCATTTTGTTCGGGGGGGGGGGGGGACGGTAGACTGTCTTCGGGGGGGGGGGGGGGGGGGCTCCGAAGAGATGCCTGGAAGAAACTCTGGCAGTTACTGAAGAATTGCATTATTAAACAGTGCTAGTGTATATATGGCTCCGTACTCTAAATAGACCATTGGGTGATTGCGCATTGGAAAACCCAAGCACAAAGCCTGGGCCCTAAGTTGAGAAGAGCCAGATGTTGCCCATGTATCAGGCCCTGTATCTCCACACAGCTCATGGACCCAAGGGATAGGGAATGTTAGTGTATCTAGATGTTAATACCGTGCATACAGTTTTAAAGAATGCTATATTTAGTCTAGGTACTAACAGTGTGTCAAACCCTACAATCATAACTCGTAACTTATATTGAGACCAGAGGCGTAGCAACCCTTCCCGGGGCCCGGGGATAAACTTTCAATGTGCCCCCCCCCCCCGGAACAAACTTTCAATTTGTCCCCCCCCCCCTCCTAGGAACAGACTTTCAATTTGGCGCCACACCACCATATATTTTTTTTATATTTATAATGCAAAACTGCAGATAAAATGAGCTTTTATTTTTTTTTCCAACCCATTTTGGCGCCCCCTAGGGTCGGCGCCCGGGGACATATGTATCCCCCGCCACCCCCTCACTACGCCTCTGATTGAGGCCAAATATGAGGGTAGTAATAAAGATTTAACCAATACATTCATATCAACCCGCATATCTTCCTCACTGGTGGTTCGATATTGAACTCGCTTTTGCAAGGGAATAAACACTATAATAGCGGAATAGAATGAGAATAATATTAAAAGTAATTTTAATCTGACAGAGTGTTAAGCGGGCTGTTGTATGCATATACATTCTCAGTAGATAAATAGGTTATATGACAATAGGGTTTGAACAATTGAGAATATTTACATTTCTGGTGTCTAAAATAAACTCGTTACGCTTGTGGGTCGAACTCGGCTTTAAATTGACAATAGCTTCACCTTTCCTGCTCGTCTTTATCACCTCACCCTTACTATCATTTGCATCTTCCTTGCCAAACCATGAGTCCTTCCAGCATTACCTATCCCGTTATCCTCATCCTTCCAGCATCACCTATCCTATTATCCTCATCCTTGCAGAAACTTCATCCTCATCCTTCCAGTATCACAAATCCCATTATCCTCATCTTTCCAGTATCACCTATCCCATTATCCTCATCCTTGCAGAAACCCCATCCTCATCCTTCCAGTATCACATATCCCATTATCCTCATCTTTCCAGCATGACCTATACCATCCTTAGATTTTATGCGCATGTTTCTATCGACTTTTGGGCGATTTCCGGTAAAAAGAAGTGGTACTTAACTGTATTCCATATCAACCATCCTTGATGATACGCATCTTTATTTCGTCTACAAATCTCTTTATTCACTTTGCATCAAACATTATCCTTATCCATGCTTACCTCTTCACATTATCCTCACACCCTCTGATTGACCTCCACTTTTCTCCTCAACATCTTCCTTTCCTGACATCTAACACCGTCCTCAAAATCCTCATTGCCTGACATATAACACCATCCTCATCTTCTTTGCCCCAACCATCCATTAACATCCTCCTTGCATACATATAACAATCCTCATCACAACTTTACGAGCGTAGAGTGGCCTAGCGGTAGAGCGCTAGACTGCTTATCCGCAAGTCTCGAGTACGAATCCGGTTTCAAGCCAGTAGGACGTTCCTGAGTCCACCCAGGTTTTGATGGATACCTGACTCACGTTATTGAAAGTTTGCTGGGGAAGTGCTGAGCTCACCATCCTTTCATATGCCGAGGTCGAGAAACATCAACTCCACTTCATCAGCTAAGTCTGAAGAGGTATCTTTAATTTTTTTTTTACACTACTTTAACCTTTCTTATCTACTATGCTTCCCTTTCCAATTTTCCCTTCCCCATCCCTATCACCCTCTTGCTCACCCATAGCGACGAATCAATCAATGTAATAAAGTATACAACAAGCAAACTTACGTGGCTTCAAACACACTAACCAGACCTATACCGCGTTTACACTTGCGACATGTATACTAAACATGTCCAGAAAAAAAACACCTAAAAATGTGTTGTGTGAAAACATGTTCCTCAAGTAACATGTTTATTGTGTATTTGTCCTAGACATGTACAGTATACATGTCGCAAGTGTGAACGCTGTGTAACAATGATACAATTGGTGTGTAGTTGATAGTACAGTCTGTTGCAGCTATTCTACCGTACAGACTCCATTGTTCGCTACTCTAAAAATAATGGAGACATTTACGCCAGGCTTTGTTTTTCTGATCACAACTTCATTTCTTTTTCTGCGCGCGTACAACAGTGAGTACCTGCCTTGGTTTATTTGCTCTCCGATTTTTCATTTCTTTCGACATTCATACAGTATTTGACATACAAACAACATAATTATTTTCTGAATATTTTTCGTAAATTATCATATAAGTGTGTTATTATTTTTAATGATTTGTAATATAAGAGTCAGTTATATTTAAATTTAATTGGGGATATGTTTTCTTATTTCTATGAACACAAAGCTCAATACGTCCCTCTTAGGTGTTTCTTATGGGACGGAGTGGCCTAGCGGTAGAGCACTAGGCTGCTAACCCGAAATGCTCGAGTTTGAAACCGTTTGATTGTCCCCGAGTACACCCAGCTCTAATGCATACCCTAAATCCCGTTAGGGAATGTAAAGGCGGCTGGGCATAATGCTGACCACACTATCTCTTCATATGCCAAGGTCACAGAAACAAGTGAACTCTACTTCACTTGCGCCATAGACCATCAGGTTTGAAAGGGAACTACTTACTTTCAGGTGATCCAGCGATGAAGTCTAGAAGTGTAGTTGGACAAGTCCAGTCAGGGGAGACCCAGCAAGTGACCTTGAAAAAGAATGACCGGTCCAAGAGCACGTGTGACTATGAAACGGTAAAAGATAATTTTTGGTCGGCGTGGTCGAGTCGGTAAAGCTCATTGTTGCTAACCCTAAAAGCCTCGAGTTCGAACCCTCGGGCAGATGAGGCTCGTTAGCTGGGGACAGCCACTCTTCTAGGAGAGACAACTCCAAAATTAAACAACTGCTGCCTTGTGGATTGTTCTTGGTTGGACAAATGCCATGGAAGAATATCCAAAAAGAAAATCAGGCTGAAATTGCCTCAATGGCGCATAGTCAGTTGACACGTATCCGTGTTGGAGGGGGATCCCTTCCAACACTAAAATTAAGAACGAAGAAGAAGAAAAAGAGGCTCGAAAGAGTTTCAACATGTATAGTATCCGCACGTGCTATCACATTTCACTGAAGTATTAATTTGTGAAAAAAGCATGATTCACTTCTGTACTTATGTATACAGACTTAGAATAGGGACGGCGTGGTCTAGCTGTAGAGTGTTAGACAACCAACCCTGAAAGTATCGAGTTCAAATCAGTAGACGCCCCTTATTCCACCCAGCTCTAAAAGGTACCTAACTGACGTTAGGGAAATTAAAGGCGGCTAGTCATAGAGCTGACCATTCTATCCATTCTCATACCGAAGTCACAGAAACCGGTGAACTCTACTTCACTTGCCCCATGGGCCATCAGGTTCGCAAATGGTACTATACTTTACTTATTTAGGCATAGTTGACATAATAATAGATGGGTCCAGGTACAATCTACAAACTCAGTCTATTATCTTTGTTATTTAATTCCTTATAAAGAAATGTATAAGACTATTGGATATTTTCATAATGGTATAATACAAAGTGATTTCAAGGTTATTAAATTGAAGAGATTAATTCCTAATATTGGGTTTATACCATTAAACAAGTAATTAAAAAAAGTCTAGTGATAATTTTAGCGCAATTTCCTTATGTTATCTAAAAATAGCTCTGTCGTAGCGTAAATCAAGAGCAGGGTTAGTAAAACCATTGGTTAGTTATTAAAACGTTTTTTATTAAAAAAAAATGTCAGTATTTTACATGTTTTATTTACAATAGAGTAACATGACTAAAAACCATTGCGCGCCTAGCTACCAAACGTGATGTCGCAGCCATTGAACGTGATGGCGCAGCTATTGAACGTGATGACGCGTGTGGTGTGGTTGGAAAAACATGCCTACTAATTCGGTCCAAATTTTAATTAATTCAAAAAATTTTTTGTGACCGAACGAAAGGATATTTTTGAAAACTTTCTTCGGCAATATTGTTCTAAATTATGGCAGGAATCGATTGGTACATGTTTCAAGTCGCTAAGTGGTCTGGTTGCCGAGATATGGGCAAAAAAACTGCATTTTCTCGAGGTTTTTTGGCTTTTTCGGGAAATCCATGAAAGAAACCCGGAATTTTTATGGCCTATGTTCATCCTCGTAACTTGCTTAACATAATTGCTTTTGTAACTAGTCATCGATATTGCTTCGTTGAGGAGGAGATACGACTTAAAGCCCGGACACACATCCATACATTCATCCATCCATTCCCAGAAAAGACGAGTTAATAAACGCAATTCTCCAGAATGGAAATTGCGCTAAAAAATGATTGATACGTAATTCAATTTAAACACGTCACAAACATTAACGTCTGTGCTAATTTTCTAAAGGAGCCGACCCGCGGCGTAACATACGCCGCTATTTAGTGACGGTTACAGACTTCCAGAAAGACACAGTTGTCCAAAAGGGGTGGGTGGGTACACACTGTTGCGCATGCCTGGAGAGCGAGTGAGGGGGCGGGATGAGGTTTAGAGAGTCGGCGTGTGTGCGTGGTGTCCCGCATGGTTGGGCGACGTAGATAATAATATAGAAATAGCTAATCTCTATGCACGTGCGTTTGAATGCGCATGATTCGGTATGTATACGGGTAAGTTTATGTGCGCGTGTGAGTACTGTACAATGTGTAAGCTACTTATTTTTTTATCGCAGCTTACCTGTGAGTTGTCAACCATGTCGACGGCTCTACCGACAAGGATGGTGTCCAAATCACCTGATGATGGTAGCGATGTGCTGTGTGACACAAGGACAGATGGTGGTGGATGGATTATCATGCTGGTAAATTGATATCAACACTCACAATATTAAAGATATCAACACTCACACTGTTAAAGATAGGAAAAATCATAATATTAAAGATATTAACATTCACAATTTTAAAGATATCAACACTCACAATATTAAATATATCAACACTCACAATATATAAGATATCAACACTAACACTATTAAATATATCAACATTCACAATATATAAGATATCAACACTCACAATATTAAGGATATCAACACTCACAATTTTAAAGATATAAACACTCACACTATTAAATATATCAACACTCGCAATATTGAATATATCAATATTCACAATTTTAAAGATATAAACTCACAATATTAAAGATATCAACACTCATAATATTAAAGATATCAACACTCACACTGTTAAAGATATGAACGCTAACAATTTTAAAGATATCAACACTCTCAATATTAAAGATATCAACACTCATAATATTAAAGATATCAACACTCACACTGTTAAAGATATGAACGCTAACAATTTTAAAGATATCAACACTCACACTGTTAAAGATATGAACGCTAACAATTTTAAAGATATCAACACTCACAATATATAAAATATCAACACTCACAATATTAAAGATATAAACTCACAATATTAAAGATATCAACACTCATACTATTCTAGATATCAACACTCACAATATTAAAGATTTCAACACTCACACTATTAAAGATACCAACACTCACACTATTAAAGATATTAACACTCACAATATCAAAAGTTACAATACTCACCCGATATTGGGTATAAAACACGCTAAATTATAGTTATGATTCTTCTTTTGGGTCCATCAAATATTTTATCCTACTAAAATATATTTCTTTTAATAATTAGAACTATAATATAGCTTAAAATTTCAGGGGATTTTAGGAACTGTTCAGGTAAAAATGTATCAGCATATCTACACACACCAAACACTTCAATTATACAGTTTCGTTTGCGTATACATAATTTCTTTAAAGAGTTAAAAAAAATTCAAATGGTTTATTTCAGCGTCGAATAAAAGGCGATGTGGACTTCAACCGAACATGGCTTGACTACAAGCTTGGCTTTGGTTCATGGGAGGGGGACTATTGGCATGGGTTGGAGAAGATTCACAGCTTGACAAAAGTAAGATATATATATATATATATATATATATATATATATATATATATATATATATATATATATATATTGTGTGTGTGTGTGTCTATAGTTCTAATTGTTCCATTGTATACTACTAAAGATGGTCATTTAAATAAGTATTCTATCCCTCTCTACTTATGTGATGTTCATCGTTAAAGTTGTGTAAGCACATGACGTGTAAACGTTAATGATAGCTAATCCAACACTATATAATAAAGTTAACGACTTTAGTATGTGCGTTTTGAACACAATTTAGATGCTATTAAAAAAAAACATTTTTAAAACCATTGCGAAAATAAATGAATTGTTTATACGAAAATATTTTTTTCTCACCGTATTTCATTAATGAAACTATACCAAAATGAGAAAAAAAAACTTTAATTGCCGTATGTCATATATTAAACTATACCAATGCGCGAATTACTGAATTGTTCAAGTGAAAATGTTTATTTTTTCTTGCCGTATTCCATTTATTAAACTACACCATAATTAAAATAGCTGAATTGTTAATATAAAAAGAAATAACTTTTACCGTATTCCATGTATTAAACTACACCATAATGAAAATAACTGAATTGATTACGTGGAACAGAATGGAACGTGGGAACTGCGGATCGACATGAGGTACCAGGGCAAAGATTACTACGCCAATTACGGACAGTTCGTGCTCTTCAACGAACAACTGGACTACGCTTTCTACGTCGCCGCCTTCACCGGAAACGTCCTGGATGAACTAGAAATGCACACCAATATCCGCTTCTCTACTAAAGACTACAGCTTACTCGGCTACAAGTGCGCACAGACTCTGGGTGGGGGGTGGTGGTTTCAAGGGTGTGGTAGAGTTTACGTTTTTTTGACCGGGCTGTTCGAAACGGATGAAGACTCGAAGGGGATACATTGGGATAATCTGACAAGCCAGTTGGATTATTTGGACATGGCGGAGATGAAAATACGAAAAAGATCGTCGAAAAACTACAAGTATAAAGCGTGGGCTGGCTCCCCACCTAAACCTTAAAGCAGAAAACTATACGTATTTTCTTTTATTGTAGTTATTAAATCTATTGTTTTTCCTTGAATTAAATTAGGTAAAACCTAAATTTTTAAAAATACTATGTCTTGTATTAAAAAGAGTCTTAAAAGCTCACGACGGTTTTTTTACGTATAAAAATATTGTGGTTTCTCAACGGCACAAATTAGTGTGTGTCGTGTCGTAAATTTTGTTTTGAGTATATGCTAGAAATAATGGTGTTGTGATCGTGTGGTACTTTGTGATAATTAAGTGGTGCTGTTCTGGTGGTATTCGTGTATTACTGTTCTTTTCATAATCGTGTGTTACTGTTTATGTTCTTATCTTATTTCTGTTCTAGTACTAATTATGTGACTGTTTTCGTAATAATTATGTTACTATTATTATTGTTATATATGTTACTATTATTGTTATAATCATGTTACTGTCCTTGTTATAATCATGTTACTGTTTTTGTTATAATTATGTGTTACTATTCTTGTGATAATCACAACTTTAAGTTTTGAGATAGTCATGTTTTATCCGAGCGGAATACAAATCTTGTATCCATATTCCAGTTCCGAAAAACCAAGAAATGTGTCACCTCCCTACCAGCTCTCATTGTATATAATACATTTATTGTCTCTTTAACGTATATAGCCCTCATCATCATCATCTTTTCCTTGTTGTGCCCAAGACACACGGGGCCTCTACAAAAAGCTCCCTCCTCTTTAGTCGGTCACCGGATTTTGTATATAGTTATACGAGCAACCAAAATCATTATGGGACTTAATATCAAGGGAGATAACTACACGAGGACTAATAATTTTGAAACGAAATAATGAATCCTAAACATCCGACAGTGGAATAACATATACGTTTGAAACTGTGTCTCTGGGATCAAGAAAATTATTTTTTTAAAAAATAGATTTATATTTATGTAGATTCTACATGGTACAGTGTGGTCAATTATTAGAGCGTTCGACGGCTAAAACGGAAATATCGAGTTCGGATCCCGGCCTCGAGTCCGTAGGACGCCCCTGATTCCTCCCAGCTCTGATGAGTACCTGACTTACGTTAGGGAAACGAATGCGGCTGACCACACTATCTCCTAATATGCCAAGGTCATTGAAACAGATGAACTCTACTTTATCAGCCCCATGTGTCTTGGGCACGAACGGGAAAATATACTGATGCTATTACATGTAATAAACAATATGTTATTCAAGTTATATACATGAAATCCGTATGGCTGTTTGTACTGTTTGTTAGTAGTTATAAGCGCATTGCAGGAAACTATTTTTTATTTAAAGTTTGACTTTAGAACTTGGCCGTTTTCTTTCTTCAAAGCTATGAGAAACAAATACTTTGAAATTATAATTTAATACTTTTATTTTTGTTACATGTTTTAAATAATCTATTCAAATTCTCCCTAATAAGAATAATATCTGTTATAGTAAATTGGCCATAAATAAAAAAAAAAATCTGGCAACAACACTGGCAGAAATAGAGCTCTTATAAAAATAAAATAATAGAGTAAATGTGTTCTTCAGCAGTGGAGAGCGTGTTTATGTAGCCGTCATTGAGCCATCTATTTAGCTGTTTGTAGATTGGCCATACATCGAAAAAAATCTGGCAACAACACTGGCATAAATAGAGCTCTTATAAAATAAAATTAAAAAAAAATAGAGTAAATGTCTTCTTCAGCAGTAGATAGCGTGTTTATGTAGCCGTCATTGAGCCATGTTCGTGGCTGTTTGAAGATTGGCCATAAATCGAAAAAAATCTGGCAACAACACTTGCATAAATAGAGCTCTTATAAAATAAATAAAAATAGAGTAAATGTGTTTTTCAGCAGTGGAGAGCGTGTTGCTGCCATTGAGCCATCTATGTGGCTGTTTGAAGACCGTAACGGCGGCTACAGAAACTCGAAGTCTTCGTTTATCCCATAGTAAGAGTTGTGGGGTTGGTCCATGTTGTAGGATAGGGCCTTCTCCAGGCGGGCCCTGGTGTCCTTGTCACAGTTAATGGACGCCAGGGCGGAGATCTGAAACAAACGTTTGATTCAATAATTGTCAGCAAAACATACCACAAAACAAATATATTCACTATCAACTATAAACAAACATACCCGGAACAAATATATTTACTATCCGCTATAAACCAAAATAACCAAATAATTATATTCACTATCAACTATAAACAAACATACCCGAAACAAATATATTCACTATAAACTATAAACAAACATACCCGAAACAAATATATTCACTATCAACTATAAACAAACATACCCGAAACAAATATATTCAACATCAGCTATAAACAAACATACCCGGAACAAATATATTCACTATCAGCTATAAACCAAAATAACCAAAACAAATATATTCACTATCATCTATAAACAAACATACCCGGAACAAATATATTCACTATCAGCTATAAACCAAAATAATCAAAACAAATATATTCAATATCAACTGAAAACAAACATACCCGAAACAAATATAGTCACTATCAACTATAAACCAAAATAACCAAAACAAATATATTCACTATCAACTATAAACAAACGTACCCAAAAATATATTCACTATCAGCTATAAACCAAAATAACCAAACAAATACATTCACTATCAACTGAAAACAAACATACCCGAAACAAATATATTCACAATCAACTATAAACAAACAAAACCAAAATAAGTATAGTTAGTATATTTGATATCAGCTGTCAACAAACAGATCTAAAACTGAAAATTTAAATTGAAACCAACATTTATATTCAGTAGTTTTGTCAACAAAACACAGTAGTTAAATTTAAATTGTTATATTTTAGGCCCAGCTTAATTTAGCTGATTGAGGAAATATAAAAATCGGTATGTTTTTTAGACAAAGCTGAAATTATGGTTTTTAGGCTTTTTGAGTAAAGTATACAAAAATGAATATGGTAAAAGTTACAGCAGCTTTGATTTAAACTAATGAGTAAAATGAAGAAAGAATTCATCTTTAGGACTAGCAGATGAAGTAGAGTTATTATGTTTCTTGGCCTCGGCATATGAAGGGATAATGTGGTTTGCACTATGCCCAGCCGAATTTACTTTCCCTAACGTAAGTTAGGTACCCATCAGAGCAGGGTGGACTCAGAGACGTTCCACTGACTTGAATACGGATTCGAACGCGAAACTTTCGTGTTCCAGTCTAGCGCTCTACCGCTAAGCCAGGCGGTCCGATGAAAATATAAATATCGAAATGTAATAGTGTTGGCCCTTACCCTAATGTCCTGTATATTGTGGCCAGGTCTGGTGAAGTGGAAGGCCACCGGGTCACTGTTGTTGTTGGCCCGCACGTTGGCCAGGTGCACGCGGAAAGCGTCTTCCAACTTTAATCTCGAATGGCCAATAAAAACCTGAAAATATCAACAGCATTTTTGGATAAATTCAGCTTGTTGTGATATATATTTTAGCTTTAGCTTGTAGACCCATTTGCTTTTTAGAACAATTCTCGTTCTGAATAAGCCAAAAAAAACACACACACACACACCACACACACACACCTATATAAATAAATATATATATATATATATATATATATATATATATATATATATATATATATATATATGAGGAAGGACTACGGTAACTGTACAGCTGCTGAGGTTATGATTTTGTCATTTAATTGGAATTATAAACAGTTAATCTAAATTACTTTCTCATACTGTCCTTCATACAAATGATGACGCACACACAGTTGACGTCCCACCTACCTTTTCGTCATTTAAACAAACGACGACGTACACATATGACGTCATACCAACCTTTTCATCCTTCATACAAATGATGGCATACACGACGTTGACATGTTGACAGTCCAGCGTCTCCGTGATGTTGAATACACCGGCAGGACCCCAGAAGGTTGGCGACTCGGCCACGTAGTTACACATCTGACAGCCGGGCTTGTTGCAGGCGTTCATCCCACGGCGTTCTGTAGGACGGGGAGATAAGCATGACGGTCAGTTATATTTTCTGAACATGTCATTGGTCACCGTCTATTTATGTTAAGTCTTGTTTAGTATACCATTTTTTTTAAATTTAAGAAGACACATTTTCCTTTTTAGACAGGAAAACTTTATATGAAACTGATAATCCAATATCCCCAACTACAATGTAGTATATAAGCATTTTAGAGTTGTTTTTTTTTTGTTCATTTTTTACTATAGATGGCTACAAAGCCTACTTACTATATATTTTAGAATGTGTTTTTTTTAATTGAAAGTAGACTCCATAGCCATCTAGAGAAAAAAAGAATGTCGTGTATAAACCCCATATTTCAATAAAGAGCACGCTAAAAAGGTCGCTGACGCAGGTGAACTGTGCATCATGGACCGTCAAATTTGAAAGGGTACATTCAGTGATTTGATCCACACCCCAAACTCATATGTTCAAACACAATACAAGCAATCTTTTTTTTTATAATGTCATGATAAGGAAGTTTTATATTGATTGTGTGCACTTACAATATTTTATATACCATTTATGATTGTAAGCAAGCCATAGGTGTAGACGTAGGAATGATAATGGAGTTTAGCTGATCGTCACTTTGTACACAAGACACTGATTGTTTAAAAATTCTTGCTACCAGTGTAGTAAAAATCTATTTATAAAAAAAAAAAACTATAGGGAACGATCTCCTGATTGAGTATCTGATGACTTTGAGTCATGATGCTCAAGAATATCTCAGATCTGAGCTTTAGGTTTGCTGACTAAAGCACCAGTGTGGTTGAGAGGGAGAGGTTGCTTTAAAGTAAACTGAGGTTTGTCCTAGACAGAGGCGTAGCGAGAGGGGGGGGGGGGGGTGACACCACTAGGTGTTGCACCGGGTGACACCAATAGGTGCCACACCGGGTGACACCCGACCTTGCTACGGCACTGTTCCAAGGATTTTTTTTTTCCCGTTTGTGTCCAAGACACTTGGAGCATATGACCTCAGTATACAGGGAAATAGTGTGGTCAGCACTATGCCTAGAGCCTTAGTTTACCTAACGTAAGTCATGTATCTATCAGAGCTGAGTTGACCCAAGTACGTCATATAGAATACCTGAGTTTTTTTAGGAACTATCACTACTTAGCCAGATTATAGATCCGTCTTATATTCCAAAAGAGTAATTCTACACTGTGTTTATTGAATTGGTATGTTAGGAATGAATTTTTTTTTTAATTTTTTTGTTTCAATATTGAGAAACAACTGTGTGAGACCACGTCTCCAGAAATGTGAACTAGCTAGGAATGTAAATCATGAAAATGTTGATTTATAAATAATAAGCTAAATCAACTTGGTGCAGGAAGGGATTAAGCTGATATTGCTGTCTGAAGGGATTAACTTAGCGATACTTACGTCCATCGTTAGGGTCGTAGACTGGATTAGCTTTGGTGTAAGGTGGAGGGGCGGCGGCGCTGACCACAGCCGGACCCAGGGGTTTTTTGTTCCTTCTCCCTGGGGAAGAGAGGGGTGGCTTAACATTGTCTTATTTTAAACATTGTATTTGTAGCTGCACATACAAATAGTGTCTATCAAAGCAGGAATTAAGAATCTCGATTTTAATTAATGGAATATAAAAGTTATCACTGTTGATAAATTGACAGTAGTTAATGTGTAAGTATAGTTATTTGGTGGTGCCAATGAAAAAATGTAATTACCTAAAATAAAATAACGCAACAAATTACTTATTTTTTAAAATGTTTAATTAATTTTTAAGTAGTGCAGGGTGATATTATAATAACACGCGTGAATTTACATTATAATAACTAGTGTGCTATATATATTTTTATATAAAACAATGTGTAAATAAATACAATAATCATCAAAATAAAAACCAAACTTATACCGACATATTTGTCTCTTAAATCATGATATATATAAACAACACGAGCTCTTAGAATTTAGAATGTTATATAAGAAATTTTTCTTATCGTTTTTTTTATATATGTAGAGGAGGAAGAATTCTTCTCTCACACACGCACGTTCAAATACTCACAGACTCATGTATATACTAATATATTAATATATATATATATATATATATACATATATATACATATACATATATACATATATATATATATATATATATATATATATATACATATACATATATATATATATATATATATATATATATATATATATATATATATATATATATATATATATATATATATATACATACATATATACATATATATACATACATATATACATATACATATATATATATATATATATATATTGTCACAGACTGTATTATTATATATCATTATTATATTGTGTTTTGCATGAATGAAGAGTACCTGGCTAGCGGAAGGACTGTCTGAGCGATCGTCATGTGTTTTTTCATGCTTTTGGGTGAGATCGCTCATTGACGTAAGGGGAGAGAAAGTGGTGAATAAAAGAGAGCGAAAGGTGAACGGGTGTTGTGTGCTAGGACTTGGGACTGGAACGATGGCAGTGAATGTAAGATGTCTCCATGACTTGGAGTCGTGATTATTATTTGTACCTATATCAGTTGATCTTCAAATATGGATGTACCACGGATTTATCTGTACATAGTGTAAATAAAGTTGTCATTTCAAGTTGCCACTGTTGCTCGTGTTCCTGTATGAAAGCTAACCCAAAACAACAGAGAATACATGTTGTTACATATGGTGTCAGAAGTGGAGGCAATAAAGTGATGTTGCTACATTGTATTACTGTTACTTATGATGTCACAAGTGGTTGAAGAATTGGTGCTACATATGTCAGAAATGGAGATATTACAGTCTGTGGTCTTCCACTGTTTACCAAGTACGTCAAGTTCTTGAAAGTCATCTATCTACACTCAAGTCAGAAGGGTTGCTGTAGTCAAGTCAGACGTTTTGTTCAAGTCAAGTCATCAACGTGATAATTTTTATCACCTTATTTCGATATTGTCTCACCAATGTCGAGTAAATATCGTCTGTGTGTTTTTTCTGTTTGGATTTAGCCGATCAAGACTTAGTGTTTCTTTTTCTGTATGGATTAGCTGTTCAAGTTTTTCTACTGTTTGGATTTAGCAGATCAAGTTTATTTTTGTAACTGTTCCTAAACTGTTCCTAAAGATGTCTTATCTAAAACTGGACAAATTTCTACTCTGTAACAGGCTACTAGAACTATTTTGAATTTTTTTCAACTTTTTGGAATCAACAAAGTGAACTATTTTTGTACTATATATGTACTATGAACTTTTCTTGGATTACTAGATGTCTCTAATCAACTGAACAAAGCCAGAATACAAGAAAGGGTATTGTAAATTAATTAACATTTATCTATTGTCAACTAATGAATTTATATTTTATGTCATAGAAAATATATCAAAATGTCATGTTTTGAAGAATATCTAGCACTAGCGAGGGCGCAAGGCATTAAGAAGATGAATAAGCAGATAGCCTGGGCAACCAATCGACTTGAAAAAGACATAGAAGAAGCAAAAGAAGCATGGGATGAAGTACCAGAACAACCCCGACGAGCTCATGGAAATGTATTGAGAGAACTAGATGATATGATAGAAATAGTGTGTAATAGATCAAGAGCTATTACAGACATGCATAAAGAAGAAGACATTTCAGAAGTAGATAAAGTAGAAGAGACTGTACAACTAAAAGGAAAGCGGAAAAAAAGAAACAGAAAACAGAGAGCAGATAAAAGGGCTGAAACTTTGGAAAAACATGTTGGCCTACATGAACTAGCATATGAACAAGAACTATTAGAAATGAAAGCTATAACAGACACAAATGAACCAAAATTAGAAAGTGAACAGACAGAATTTAAAGCAGAACTTGAAGAAGTAAATATTGGCAACCTTTGGAATGAAGAACAGAGTAACATAGTCCAGGAAGAATTGAAACCCAAGGATAAAACAGAGGTTGAACTTAATAATGATTTAAAGATGACAGTTACATTAGAATGTCTTAAGATTGACTCTTTATTAAATGATACGCAGGTACACGAGAATATTATTGAAAGTTATATCGTAAGTCCATCAGAGAATGGCAGTCAACAAGAAACAAGTCCATCAGAGAATGGTAGTCAAAATGATTTAATAAGCCCATCAGTCAATGGCAGTGATGATTTAATAAGTCCGTCGGAGAATGGCAGGAATCATGATAAACTAATGATGATTAATGAATCAGTGAACTTAATAAGCCACAATGAAGAGCACGTACCTATTGAGGAGTTACTTAGAAATCTGGAGTCAAACTATAAAGAAGATATACTAGAACTCAAGAATAAATTTAACAAAGAAATGGAGAAATTAACACATAAATTTATGTGTGAATTAGAATCAATAAAGAAGCACAAGGAAGTTAAGAAAGATGAAACAGTAACTAGAAACTACAATGTCATTGATGCACAGAATGAAAGTAAAAGAAATTTAGCAAACTATGAATACAGTCAACATGTTAATAAGAATGTCATTAATGTCATTAATGCACAGAATGAAAGAAAAAGAAATTTAGCAAACTATGAATACAGTCACCATGTTTATAAGAAGCCAAAATCTAGATGTTTTTACTGCGGAAAAACAGGTCATTACCAAAATCAATGTTGGCATAGGTTGGCAAATCAGAGAAGAAACAATTATGTACACAGAAAGTCATGTGAGAAATACAGTAATTTAAGGAATAATGTATCAAGTTCAAATCAGAATAACAAAAGTGTGAATAGGTATACTAATGGAAGTTACCGACGCAACACATATTATGAGAGGCCAAAGCAATGCCATAATATTTATATTGAGTTGGTTGATGAACCAAACGAACGTACACAAAGCAAGATAACAACTGACGTTGTTCAGAAACCAGAAGAGAATATTAAAACAAATGAAGTAACACAAGTTACACGAATTCTAGGAAATAATTATGGTAACAAAGCTAAAAGATACACATACAATTTGAGGGAGAGATGGCATACAGGTCATCGTCAACTGCACGAGAACGATTACTCATGCTATAGAGGATGCTAAGATAAATTATCAATTGACAGTTTATTAATATTATACAGTCTGTAACTGTAATATATAAATATCAAATAATGTGTTTGAGTAAACATAAATTGTGTACTATATCTAAAGAATGTAAACTGTATTATGTTAAACCTATTCTATACTATTAATTAACAGTGAATAAAGTAAATAAATAAAAGTTAGAGACTATTTATTCCGCATAACAATAAGACGGAAGTCTCAATGATGTATTGTGTATTAGTCAATACCTGGGTAAGGCAAGAATGTGATTGTGTTGTGACCTAGATTTGTCTGAAATGGGTCAACTAGGGGAGACAACAAAGTATATTAATCATGCGTCGTAATAACATGCCTTGATGATAAGGAAGTTTTTTTACCACATAGGATATAGTTATTTAAATTATGAGTTGAATCAAGTCTTTGATAATTTCAACTATATATTATAGTTTGGTAATTTACTAAACTCATTGATCTTGTTTATACTACAATTACTGGGTAATTGAAATGTTTTTCTTTCTCATATTTGAATATATTACACATAATGCTTGTGCATTAGTCTACAAAGAATGTATTTTCCATGTTTTTTGAGATGTATAAAAAATTTTTGTTGTCTGGCACATGGTCCTGCCCTACCAATATTGTATTTATAAATTTTGTTACACAAAATTTTATTCGAAGGGGGGACGTGTCACAGACTGTATTATTATATATCATTATTATATTGTGTTTTGCATGAATGAAGAGTACCTGGCTAGCGGAAGGACTGTCTGAGCGATCGTCATGTGTTTTTTCATGCTTTTGGGTGAGATCGCTCATTGACGTAAGGGGAGAGAAAGTGGTGAATAAAAGAGAGCGAAAGGTGAACGGGTGTTGTGTGCTAGGACTTGGGACTGGAACGATGGCAGTGAATGTAAGATGTCTCCATGACTTGGAGTCGTGATTATTATTTGTACCTATATCAGTTGATCTTCAAATATGGATGTACCACGGATTTATCTGTACATAGTGTAAATAAAGTTGTCATTTCAAGTTGCCACTGTTGCTCGTGTTCCTGTATGAAAGCTAACCCAAAACAACAGAGAATACATGTTGTTACATATATATATATATATATATATATATATATATATATATATATATATATATATATATATTGCATGTTATTAATAAATGTCTCAAGATCCGGACAAAGCTATGTTATTCATAAAGTGAGAAATAAAGTTAGGCCATTCGTATTATATTGTTCCTAAAAAGTAGGTATTGAATTGGTGGTTTTTTAATAATTTAATTTAATAGGGTTTAGCTGCGTTATAAAAATATTGTGTTGTATTTTATTGTAAAGGGTAAAGGAATCGAGGTGAACTGCAATACGACTGTTTTTAAAGACAACATAAATTGCATGTTATTTTTTTTTTATTTTTTTTTTTAAATTGCATGTTATTGAAGTAACTCCAAAGAGACCGAACCTTAACATCCTCAGCTTATATAATACGTGTTTAATAAATATGTTAATGTAGGCATAATTGTTCAATGTGTGTATCACACCACACAAACTAATTAAATAAAGTTTGTAATTAAAATTCGTGTCAACTGTACTATTTATCTATAGACACAAATATAATCTTCTAAAAATATTCTAACTTAATGCTGAAGTTTTGTTTCATAATGCTGTAAAACCAGGAAATGTAACAAAGTTTAAAAATAACTGTTAAATATGTGATTATTTCCCTTAGATTAAATTAAAAACAAATGTAATCTCAATTTCAGATACAGCCTACTTAAAATTTTGACATCACGTCATCTAATATAAGTAAATTATAATACAGAGTAATAAAAAAAATATAATATTAATTATAATTGCATTATTATAAATAATTCAAAATTTGAGCAAATGTTATACCTGTATAATGTTACCTATAATGAAAAAGTGTAGATCATTATGAACTAGTGCACTCTACCATATTCACGGGGCAGATATTTTTGTATCATTTTATCAACAGGAAGGGTATAATTTCTGTATAGGGCTTTAACATCAAGTGTTTAATTTCGCTTCAATGCTAACGAATTTTCCTACATGATAACATAATAAAGTTCTAATCAATGGTTTGTGTACGTCGCACTCTACTATCAATGATGTGCCTTATTTGTAGGAAGGGGGGTCTCTACCTCTGTCGTAATCCTCCCGGTGGCTGCGGGGTGGGGGGCCCCGGGCCGGCTTGACCTCTTGAACTGGCGCGCGGTCGCTGAGGAGAAGACAGGTGTCAAAGGTCAAGGTTATGTAAGTTACTTGTAAAGGCGACATTACGTAATACACAAGCATCTCTAATGTGCAATTCAGTGTTGTTTATAAAGGAAATAAATTGTCGGGACAGACGGACGGGGTGGGGGGGGGGGAGTATTTCATTAAGACTGAAGTCATTGACTCCAAAAATTAAAACAATTAGGGCCCTGAATAAATTCACCAATGGGCCCTGAAAACTTTCAGCAAAGTACCCCGAATATTTTAATCCTGGGGTCCATGATATCTCACAGATATGGATTCCGGATAGTTTTTAGTCTAAGATACCGGGTACTTTTTAGCCAAGGGTACCGGATTAATTTCAGATTAGGGCCCTATATAACTTCTCTCAGGAACCACGGATAATATTCAACCTGGGGCCCCGGATAATTTTCAGCTAAGCCTCCCTCCCCCCCCCCCCCCCCGAATATTTTAACCCAGGGGGTCCTGGTGTCTCACGTATTGGGGCTCCGGATAATTTTCAGCTAAGCCCCTCCCCCTCCCCCGAATATTTTAACCAAGGGTTCCTAATATCTCACGTAGGGTTCCGGATAATTTTTACTCTTTGACCCCAAATAATATTTAGCCGAGGACCTTGGATAAATTAAAATTAGGGCCCTGTATAAATCCACCCAGGGGATCCTGATAACGGTTAGCCAATGCCCCACATCAAACCCTACCCGCCTATGAAAGAGACGAATGTTCTTACTTGGTGAATCGCCGGAAATATTCCCCTATGATGAAGAAGGACGAAACCCAGTAGAGAACGATGGATCCTATTATTAGCCCGCGGGAAAACCCGAACGTGTCATCTCTGTGGATATTCCCACTGTTCGTGTCAAGGCCGATGGATATTTCAAAAAACACCAAAACGAGGATGAGCATTGCTCCTGGAAAATTTAAAAATCAAACTCTTTTTGATACAGAAACAAAAGACAGTATAATAAAACGAAACAAAATACTAAAATTATTACATAAAATCATCATGTATATGTCACCTTCGTTGATAGTAAAATCAGACTAAGTTTCGACTATTTTAATTACGCTCACGAATAAAGATTCCAGGGCTATGTGTTATACCGTGTTTGATAATACCACGAAAATAGAATCATCTTTAAAAAGGGGGTGTTAGAATACAGGTAGATAACGAAATACAAATATGTCTTGCTGGTGTCTTCGCTAACATTTCCTTAAACCAAAACCCTAACCCAAATCCTACCCTAGCCCTAGACCCAATTTCTGCCCATAGCACTAAACAAGAGGTTACAATACTATTATCAACCTAACACACCTATTTTCGGAAGAGTCTATTATCGGACACTGGTGTAAGGGAAATTCCAGAATCCCTTGTATGATTAAGTGTTCAGTGACATGGTAATGTCTGGAATCAATTAGAGAGGAATATGCTGATCACTGAAGCATCGTTTCTAGATTATTCTTGCGTGGGTGAATAAATGAGGCTGACGAATATTCCATTTCTGTTTCCGAATGCCATGTTTTATTGGCAAACATTTATCATTATTTCCAAAAAACCAGAGAGGTAGGCATACAAGATGTGGGAAGCACAAGATCAATATTCCATTCAAAAGTTTTGAACGTTGTATAATTTTAACTCAAAACTGTACATGACTGTCTTGCCTGTATTTTGACTTTAAATTGAGACAAGCGGAGGTTCTTTGTTTTATACAGCAACATATTAAGTTTAAAGATGAATACGACATAACCACATATTACTTTTAGAGATAAACGTAACAACCACACACATTCTCTTTAGAGATGGACAGAACATACCCACACAACACACCCACACAACACACACTCATAACACATCCACAATACACCCACACAACACACCCACACAACACACCCACACAACACTCACACAACACAACACACCCACACAGCTCACCCACACAACACATCCACAAAGCACCTACACAACACACCCACACAACCCACACAACACACCCACACAACACACCCACACAACCCACACAACACACCCACACAACACACCCACACAACACTCACACAACACAACACACCCACACAGCTCACCCACACAACACATCCACAAAGCACCTACACAACACACCTACACAACACACCCACACAACACACCTACACAACACACCCACACAACCCACACAACACACCCACACAACACACCCACACAACACACCAACACAACACACCCACACAACACCCACAAAACACCCACACACCACATCCGCGTAACACATCCAGACAACACACCCACACACAACATACACAACACACACAACACACACACAACACACACACAACACACCCACACATAACCTATAAATATTGACACACATTCCCACACACTACGGCACGACAGACCCACACAACACACCCACACATAACCTTGAATGGATGAGACCACACACACATTATTTCCAAATGTTTACTTTACAGCCCCACATTACCTTCAAAAATAGACATAACAGCCACTGGTACCCCTAGGTTGCTCTCTCTACAGCTCCTAATGAAGAGCCCCGCACAGAAGAGCTGTAGTGTGAAGAAACCGATGACGATGGAGATGATACCCAGCACAAACGACGTAAAGAAAACTTCTGAAAACATAAACACAACAGGTGAATACATTCAGTGAAATATGAAAAAACTACAAGTCGATATTATTGTTAAATACCTATTTATTAACACAAGTGTAACCCCCCCCCCCCCCCCCCCCCCCACCATGCCCTTTTTACCCATTGTATCGGAAGCAAAATATTTTATTTCCAGGAATACATAGTCCTTAAATGAGTTGCGTTTATAAGTTAAAAAATTATTCTTTAGGGAACTGTTGCATTTAAATGAATGAAAACACTTCTTATATGCAAAATGATCTGGGCTTTAAAACTTAATTGAATCAGGTTTTAGTTCACTTTTTTACATTAAATCCTCATTACAAAGGCGGGTTCAATGTCAAGGAATTACATTTTGTTATGCGGTGAATTTTATTTTTATTAGAGACAAAGGAAGAAAGAGAGAAAAAGTGTTGATAGAGGAATACGTAGACAAGCAGAGATAAGGAAATAGAGATAATTAAAGAGAAAGAGAGAAAGAAAAATAGATATAGGGAGATAAAATACAGTGAGAAATAATAATACTTTAATTAAGACAAAGTAAAAAAGTATGGCTAATTATAATTTGTGAAAAAAATAATTATTTAATAAGAAAGGTAGATAATGAAGTAGATACATCATAATGATGTATATGATGATGCACATAGCGAGACTTACTTGATGCACTAGTAAAGTTGATGTTGGCCTCACAACTTTTACTAGGTGAGCAGCTCAGGATTAGACCTGTGAACACATTTGATATTTAAGTTATGTGATGTACAACAAAGCCACGACTTCCAGTCAACCGTGCTGAGGTATAGATCGGTACAATAAAAAGTTCTATATAAAGTAAGGTAGCCTTACGAAGCTTGCTGTGCACGGATCAGATGAAATAGAGTTTAACTATTTTTAAGATCAAAGTATATGATGGTATATTGGGATTCTAGTAATACCCAGCCGCCTTAACTTTGCCTAACGTTAGTCAGTTAGACTACTCGCAAGAGCTAGAACTGGAAGTACACTAGAACTCTAGACTTTCAAGTTAGCCATTGCTATATTTACCATCCGACCCAGCCGTAATATTAGAGTCATTGCGTTCTTGGCTATTCTATATATATATATATATATATATATATATATATATATATATATATATATACATGTGTGTGTGTGTTGTGTGTGTGCGTGTGTGTGTGCGTGTGTGTGTGTCTACTGTGTCTAAACTAACCAGCCTTACCTCTGTCATACTTGCTATTGGTGGTGGATGTCCCAACTTGCTCTGTGATCTCGGTCCAGTACGGCGTGAACATGCCGATGGCCATCAGAATGAAGGCCACAACATGGATACAAAAGGCCAATGCGTAGAACGTTGTTGGCTTGTTGGACTTCTTGCTCAGGCCAAACATCTTGATCTGGCCAGTCAGTGTCAACAAGAGAATACTTGGTGTTTGGTTTAGTAACAGATAGCGTCCTCACTCTTCATTTTGGGATGGTATAATTTCTTACCTATTTAAAAGAATTTCATAAAATATGTTTACTGCTTGGGATAAATAAATAAAAAATTCTTAGACATTTTGCTTCTTTTGTCACTTCCAAAATTGAATATTTTATAACATCTGTTAAATAGGTACAAAATCACTTCCAGTTTTACTAAGGCTAGAAATATTCAAACTAATAATAACTAAATAAGGTAATTTAGCTAACACTTTTATTTTTAATTTGGATCAGTAGAGCAAGGGTGTTTTCGTGATAGGAGATGCTATTTTATTTAATATAATATGTATGTGGTATGTATTTTATGCTAGTATGTATTTTATCATTAAAATACGACCGGTTAACTTTAAGGAGGGGTTAAAAGAGCTTTTTAAAAAATATTTGAACAGATACAATAATTCAAAACGGCTTTCCAACGGCTTCTATTAACAACAAAACTAGGAAAATAAGTGTAACCGATGGTTCCCAAACAGCTTCAACTTTTAAAATGTAACTATAATTTTATCGCTTGCCATTTTTTTTACAAATTACCAAAAATTAGTACGATTACATAGACTTTTTAAGCCTATGGTACTCAATCTTGGAGCTGTTCAATAACGTGAACACAACTTCACAAGACAGCATTACACTAGCGTAGAAACAATGGGGCGAGTTAAAAAATCACGGGATAATATTTTGTTCAATATAGGGAACGAGGGTGGAGAGGAGACTAATTATCTGCTCATTAACAACACAGGTTTTTCACAATTCGCCTGGGATTTTGATACGAAAAACGGAAAACATGAATCCTTGCAAGTACACAACGGAAAGATTCTTGAGTTACTTAAGTTTAACGAATTTTTCAAACGTAAAATAGAAACTGCATATATATATATATATATATATATATATATATATATATATATATATATATATATATATATATATATATATATATATAGGCCTATGTATATATATAATATAATACATCTATAAACAGATTTACATATGGTCTAGAAAGTTCTTACGTCTGTTTAATGCAGGTGTTTACAAGTCCTTTAAAGTTGGAAACATATCACTTGCTACTTGTTTTTAAACGCCAGATATTATGATCATATTTTAAAACTTCAAATCTCTGTGATCAACACGGGACTTACATATACATAGGTAAACAGTGATATACAATCCTTTTCACCTGCGCTGCGACAACTTACCTGGTATACCCTCTACTCCCCACCGTGTCGAACAGCACTGTTGAGCTACAGGTAAATATCATAAACTACGGGCGCTTTAGTCACAGGTGAGGTAGATCAAATACGTCATACGTGAATGAGAAACTTACTTTTCTTCAATCGCCACGAGTGGCTCTATAAAGTAGAGGCAATAAACAATTAAGACTATTGATCTACTTGTTCAGAGATTTGCATAAAGCATAAATGCTCTTCCCTCCAATAGGTAGCGTGTGTGTGTGTGTGTGTGTGTTAATATATATATATATATATATATATGCATATATATTAACACACACACACACACACACACACACACACACACACACACACATATATATATATATATATATATATATATATATATATATATATATATATATATATATATATATATATATATATATATAGATATGTATACGTTTTTACGTATGTGCACTTTAAAGCGAAAAATACGTACAGTTCGCACACCCTCCCTCTCAACGAGTGTTTGTATGATCCTTGTATGGGCCATGGAATTAAAATCGATTTTCTGAAATCGTTCCAATTCAAAGTAGTAGTAATAAAATTATGAATGTGCTTCAAGCGGGACAAATCACACATGAATTCTTTCTATACAAAATAAATTTAAAAAATGTTATAAAATATAAAGCGAAGAACAGCGTCGAGGGTTTTTATCAAAGATTTGAACCAAATGAGGTTAATTTCGTACAAAAAGCAACAGAAAAAAGTTCAACTAGTAAACCTTGTAAACCGATCCATACGTCACACGAAAGTTTGGCTTAGTAATTTAATCTGCCATTGATCATTCTTTGTCAATAAAAAAGGGGCATAACTCTCATGGCTAAAATAAAATCAGACGCGTTTGAGTTCAGGGTGGTGTCCCTTATCTTTGAATTCTCCGTGTTTATGTTATTGATTTTCGAACCGGATATTCTTGTTAGTTTATGCGGGCCCTAGCAACTTATAGACCTCGTGGCCGTGTAGTGTCTGTTTGGTTGTCTTCTGCTAGATCAGGGGTCGGCAACCTTTTGAGACAGAAGAGCCAAAAATTACAATTTACTAGATCTCCTACCTTTAAAGAGCCACTAACATTTTAACTTCAATATTATGATCTTTGATTAGGTATTAGGTATATATATATATATATATATATATATATATATATATATATATATATATATATATATATATATATATATATATATATATATATATATATATATATGTATGTATATATATATATATATATAGGTGTGTGTGTTTGTGTGTGTCTGATTGTCTTTTAAACATTACTACACCTTTCATTTAACTCTTGGCACCCTTTAATCTGGCGTCCTACATAGCGGGTAAGGGGTACTACTATATTCAGCCTGCTATGGCGCTTACGTTCCTTTTTTTAAAAAAAGGCTATATACTAAAGACACGATGGACAACAGTAATCGTTGACTTAATCAGGCGCGCCCTCCGGCGCATTTGGCGCCCCGGACCTACCCGTGAGCACCATGGCGCCTACGTTGATTTTCGATACAATGGGTTGCTATAGTCGCTCACTAAATCGAATCAGGCGCGTCCTCCAACGTCTTTGCAGGGTGCAATTTGGCGCTATCCCTCGAGCACTACGAGCCTACGTTAGTTTTAAGGAGCACCATTCAATATTGTTAATGCGGCACACGACACACGATGATTAAACCGTGTTAGGGGCTGTACGTGGCGCCCCTGCGATTTTGTAATTGGTGTGTGAGTAACTTACACTCAAGGCTTTCATACAGCACGCTCCATGGAGAGCACAGGCATTGTTTACAAGTAAATAACTCAGTTTTAGAAAACAAGGAAGAACATTGAAAAATAAAGTAACTAAATATTCTAATAGAATAGCGAATATTTATTTTTTATATTTATTATTATATCGTTTAGTATCGAGTGTTGCAGACTAATATTTTTATGAGTTTTAAAATAAAATAAAATAATTATTAATATTTGTGCATGGAGCTGAAGAGCCGCAACTCGACATCCAAAGAGCCGCATGCGGCTCGCGAGCCGCGGGTTGCCGACCCCTGTGCTAGATGATTAGGTGTCTTCTCCTTCTATGCTTGAACTATCTTCTGTTTACTTAAAGAATTTTTCTCAAATAAATCTGTCTATGAAATCTTTTCCATACAAACACGATGTCAAGGCTTGGACTTCTAGATGTACAGAATTATTTTTCTGAAATCAACACAATCATTTTCGGTTGAGACTCAACTTTTGACGTTTCTTTAAATTTATACCCCACCCATCGAGATGACAAATGCAGTACGTCCAAAAAAACATAATATATAGATAAATGACTTTATAAATCTCATTCCAATGTTGAAATAGTGCAAAAAATTAAAACATTCATAAAATATTTGTATTCTACTTTTCTGAGATTGTACATGAGTGTTCTTGTAGTTTGTAATATTGACAATATCAGTAGAAATGTACATCGATTTCACAAAAAAGTGGACATACTACACCGGTCCTCTACACACTCGCCATGATTGTATTATCAACCGGTTGTTCTAATTAGTGTGTACACACACACACACACACACACACATACAAACACACAAACACACACATCATCTATACATAAACTTGCTGACAATACAATCCAAATATAATTCATGTTATTTTACAGAGTCACATATTTTAACGTATTATCTCATACAGCTGCATACACACATGTATCACATTACCTATCTCATACACATGTGTAGCTCATGATCTATTCTCTTTATGCATGCAACATATCACCTATTCTATTATACTCAAAAGTAACATATCACACGATTACATACACACGTGTAACATATCACTTACTACATCATACATGTAAAACATCACCTATTACCTCATACATGTAGCACATCATATCTTACGTCATACGTGTAACACATCATTTATTACATCATACGTGTAACACTTCACCTGTTACATCAGACGTGTAACACATTACACGATTACATAAGCAGATATTACTCATAACTGATTTAAACATTCATATATTCACTCCTAATATTATTCTACTCATCCACCAATCCAACCATAAGCCAATAAATATGTCTACCCCCCCCCCCCTCAAATTTTTCTCTATATATTTTACTATTTTTTGCCTTGGTGTCACCCCCCTAAATGGTGTCACCCGGTGCGGTCCGCACCCCCCCCCCCGCCCCTCCCCCCTCGCTACGCCTCTGTGTCTACCACTCCAAATATCCATACACTTATTCTGTACACCAACCACATATTTCCTCCTATCACATAACCCATATGTTAATTAATTTATACATGATACCATGCATCCGTACACACTGTGCCCTATGTATTAATAATTAATTACCTAATTACCAATCTTCACAACCTTGAACTTTAGCCTTTCAACCATCAGTTCACCTACATATTATTCAGCTTTCTATTTATTCATCTAAAAAAATATATTAATACATTTATACACCGCGGACTGGGTGGTCTAGCGGTAAAGAGCTAGACTGTTAACACGTAAGTCTAGAGTTCGAATCTTGGTTCCGGACAGTAACAATGCTCGTACCATATGAATGAAAAGAATACAATGCACACCGCTTTAACTACAGCCACATCTTCGGTGAAAAAGGTAAAACTCTCTTCTTAGGCAGCTGTTTTTTATATGTTTTGGAACATCAGAAATTTCTCATCAGCGTTGTAAGTCTGTATGGTACTGTTTGTTTTGTGACTCCTCTACGTTCCCACATCTTCATGAGCATATAGTGTGTGTACCACAACACGTTCCCATATGGTGTATGACCCCAGCACGTTTCCCATATGGTGTATGACCCCAGCACGTTCCTATATTGCGTGTCCCCAGCACGTCCCCATATGGTGTGTGTAAACCCAACACGTTCCCATAGTGTGTTACTTTAACACCAGTGTTTCTTCAAGACTTTTTTCTCCGAGGGAGGGGGGGCACTTGATATTTATTTTTTGGGGGGGGGGGGGGGGGCGGTCAACATTTTTCGGGGAGACGGACACTAGTAAAAGTGTATGTTTACTATATAAAATCTCTCATTCGGGATGTGGGGTGGGGGGGGGGTGGTAGTCTTTCTTGGGGGGGGGGGGGGCTTCGCCTGGAAGAAACTCTGTTCAACACGTTCCCACATTTTATCGAACCCTGCAAGGTCCTTTAGTTTGTGTGACCTTTATACGTTCCCATATAGTGTATGATCCCAACACGATCCTATATATTGTGTGACCCCTGCACGAACCCATATGGTTTGTGACCCCCCCCCCCCCCCCCAATTCCCGTATGTTCTCTCATAATATGTTACATTATCGAGAGTCTTCACACATGTTGTATAAACCCAATTTATTGATACAGCTATTATAACTCAATGCAATTTCCGGATAATTAATGAAATCGATGTCCGAAAATTAACTCTTATAAAAAGTAGGTATGTTAGGTTGTTAGTAGTATTATAATTTCGACTAGTTTTATGGTTATAAATTAGAAAAAGGCGTATGGTAGGACAAGTGCTGGGGTTAGGGTTATGGGTCGGGTTAGCATTGACATTAGCAAGACGTGTGTATTTTAGTTAATCCCTCGATATCCCTATTTATTGTCACCCTTAAATGTTTACCTATTACTTATGACCCGCAAACGCTTTCAATATCCGTGTTACCCCTACTAACTCCAATTAATCGGACCCCCGAAACCTTACTTTATAATTCTTTAATCCGTTGCATATCCCAATACATTTTACTATTTCCTTTAAGTACATGCCTAACATAGAAATGACAAAAAAGTTGTGCAGCGTAAAATGTGTCATACGGGTAAACAAACCACTTGCTCAATTGTTCCTAAGTGTTCTAACACCCCCTCCCCCATGGTACCGAGACTACGGTCTAGAAAACTAAAACAGCGTTGCCATTGTACTGCCCACACAATTCATAGTCTGCTTTACCACTTACTCATGTAAGTATTACCAAATGGCGGTTCGAAAGTATAAATTTTAATGTCTATTCTAACACATTCACTTTTCCCTCCTCACCCCTTTCCTTATGCATACACATTGATTTATTATGCCTCCCTTTGATTTTAAAATTGTGTACAACACATTTTCTTGTTAACCGTTGAA